TCTAAAGGTGCGTTCTGTTTCGTCTGATAAAAGTACCTAGATAATCGACGATGGCTCTCAGTGTGTCATCCCTGGATCGCTGCGTGAGGCGGTCGAACCGCGGCAGGTCGTCGGCACGCACGCGCGCACGCAGCGACTCCAGCTCCGCCATCAACGAGCGCAGCTGCGACGACACGCGCCGCGCGTGCGTCTGCTCCGAACGAACGCGCCCGTAATCCCCATTCTCAGAGTACTGCAATACAAACACTTCTAATCAAATAGACGAATGACGAATCAGATATAAGATGCAATATTGGAACGATGTAGAAGAGAACTATCTGTTGCCTTACATGGGTGTAGTCTCCATTCTCAGAGTGTGCTGAAATGGACAACACTGTGCTATGCTATAAAACAGGAAGAAAAAAGCCACCGCTGAGTTTCTTGTCAATTCTTCATAGAACAGGGTCTTTCCCCTCAGATTTCAGAACAAAAGGCAGGCTATTCATTCCAGATATTCCCACCAGTTGGGATAAATATATAAAAATATACTGTTTCTAATAGATTTTAGAACTCGATTTTAGATTCTAGAACTCTTCAGAAACTAATTGACTAGTTCCATAAGCAGAATATGTTGAACCCTACAGTATTTTAATATGATGTACTTAAACACTGCTATGAATAGGTACACAGAACTTTCATATAATTAGAAAAACTATATTGTATAAGTTGAAAGAATTGCAAATGTATATCAGGCTAGTCTAAAGTGATAAAACTTGAACTGCCTTTTTCCACAGTCCAGAATGTGGACTAAGTTAGTCATAGTTTAAACCTAATGCTGTCACTGTCTTCTTTTCAGCAAACAAAAGTGACAGCATCAGTTTTAACCCATGAGTAACTTTAGTCCGCTTTTTGGAGTGGAGGCAGTGTTTAATCCATATTAAAATAGTTCTTCTAGATTAAATTGCTTAGCTACTACAGAACAAGCTTTTTAGGCAATTTTTGTTTTTATTCTACATGAATTGTAGAAAGCAGTTTTAGAGGAGGTAAAATATTGTTTATTAAGTGTGATGATTTTGTACAATTAAGAATACTAATAATGAAATCAAGGTCGAATTCAAATAAGTACTTACTATAATGTCTTTATGAATGAAGTGCCAAATTTTTAAATAGAGTTATAATAATAGAACCGCTGATTGATGAACCAGGAAAAAAAAAGTATTAACAAAGTGATCCTCGTCGATTAGTAATGGTAACCATAGTCATGTGAAATATTTTCTTACCTTTATGATATTAGCTTTATGCTGTCGTAGCAAGTCCAGATGATGAGGAATAGCCACTTCATTAAATTTTGATAATGAGAGTTCGACTCGTTTAAGTGGTAATTTATCTGATTCTGCCATGATAGTGATAAAAATTATACTGATCTTGTTTGATAGGTCATAACCAATGCATATTTTATCCACAACAATGAATTTACTGTCTGATAAATATTTACAAAAAAACAACAATGAGACCACTGACACATAGGACCTAATTCTGGCATATTTCTCTACACTTAAAAGTAAATTTGGCAACAGTCTCTCCTTTTCATTTTCTATAAAGCATGACAAGGATTCATAATTGTCAAATAAATAAGGCTTGGAAATATGCCAGAATCGGGGCCCACATTTTGCCAAGGTCAGTTGACAACTTTAGGCATTGGAAACTAAGTCCATACAGCGTAATCCTCACATTTTTTTTCCAATAATTAATCCGATTAGATATTATGATTTTATTCTAGGATACATTTTTCTACATAAAACTTATTTCAATTTATTAATTATTCACCATTATACAACATAGTACATTATATTTGGCAAGTCACGGTTTTACAATTCAAAATTAGTTAAGTATTTTTTTCCTGTACACTAATCACAATAAAATTATTAAAATTAAATTCATTTAACTATGTATACAATTCTATAACATAAAATTAACAATTGATCGTTTCATAAAATATAAAACTACACATCAAATGTTAGAATTAAATAAAAAAAACAATACTAGTAATAAAAATAAAATGTACCTACAAATTAATTTTATACACTTACTATTACTAAAATAACATTTATAATAACGACGGGTTGTACTCCGGGAGTGCCGGCAGAAGTGAAAACTTGAATATTACCGTTGGGCATTTTTGATATTTTGGAATTGTTAGGAAATAATTATGCACGAATTGCTTTAATTATCAGCATAAAAGTATTATCATTTATGTGGTACAATACAATATTCATTTATTGCGCTATCGTACACAAACATGACAATTTATATTACATTAAAAAGTTTGTCTCTCAGAAAAATCAACTTACATGACATGAATCACATTTAAGCGCACCTAGCGACATCTATTGTAAAAAAATGCATTTTCTTCGCAATAAATAATAATGGCTTATTTTAAAATGCGATTAAATGAAATATTACTATGTATTGACCAAATTATTGAAAGTTAGAAACCTTTCCAATTTTATTGTTTTCGTCTTACGAATTTACGATTAGGTCACGTGGACACGTGACGTGTTTATGTAACACAACCAAGAAAAAGGTTACATAAACAACCATAACCTGCAGTCCGAGTGGTGCTGGTGAATTCAGAATCTAAAACAAGAATGACCTAAACATTCCGGTAAAGTTCCTGCGCGGGCAAACAGTTGCCTGCGGCTACTATGGCCACCCTGCTTAAACTACACTGTTTAGTTTATTTCTCGCTTGTTTTCTGAGTCTGCAACTGATTCTGAACCAGCGTGCACTGTGGCCGTACCCTTATAACACTTCTAACTATGTACTTAAAATAACTTTGTTTTTCAATTCAATTCAATTTATTTGCATTAAATAGGGTACAAATAATGGTGTTACATTTCATCTAAGTTGTCTCTTAACCTATTTAGTCATATAAAGATAACATGCAAATTTTTTCTATTAAATTACCTATATTAATTACCTATATAAATGTCAATAATTCTTATTATAATATTTTAATTATTCGATGTCGTCAATTTATCATGTCCATAATTATCTGAATGTCATAATTAGAATGGTCTTGTAAAGAATCAGAATTAAATGTTATATTTAAACCCATTAAGCATGTCTTTAACCCATGCATCAAATCCTACCATAATTCATGAACTCAACCATACTGTAAAACGTGTTTTCATTTAACCACTTACGAAGTTTTGACTTGAACTTATTAAAGGTTTGGCTTTTAATTTCTTCTGGAATTTGATTATAAATTTTAATTGCCATCGCCGGTGCATTTGTTTGGAATCGTTTTGTTTTCGGAACTATGTCCATTTTTATTTTATTAGGATACCTCAGACTTCGATCTGTTACATCTTTTGCGACTGTATACAAATGGTAGTGCTGCTTTACAAAAGTTGCTACTTCGAGAATGTACAAAGAAGTCAAAGTTAAAATATTTAGGTCCTTAAAATATGTTCTACAAGAAACCCGGGGCTATATTACAAATTGATCGTATACACCTTTTTTGGCATACAAACACTCTTTTAATGTCCGTGCCATTTCCCCAGACTATAAGACCGTATCTTAATATCGTTTCCACATAAGCATAATAAGCTGTAATAGCTGTGGCTTTATTTGCAACTTTTGATAATTTATGCAGAGCAAAGACAAACGAACTTATTTTATTTCTAATTTTATTTATATGTTCTGTCTGGGACACCTTTAGTTGTTTGATAAGGTTATGATAGGTTCCGAAAAACTGTCCCGAAAATGTTGTTATGTTAAATGATAAACGATGTTGTTTGTATGAGTAATTTATTGCTACTGCTCAATTCACTTAATAAAACGTAACGAGTCGCGCGCAGCGCCGACGTTAGCATAATACTTAAACATATAGAATTGTACGGGTTTGCCCGTACATATTCCCGGGCAACAAGAACAGGAAGTACAAAAAAAATATTTATTAGATTGATAAGAACTGCTTGATAAGTAACATTATTATGCAAATGCGTTTGTTAGTGTTAGTAACAATATTTCTTAGGTTGCTATGTTAGTATAATGCAAAATATGCAATTTGCAAGTAAATTTTTATTAAACAACAATGATTCCAATTTAAACATGGTTCTATTATTAATCCTAGGAAAATCGTATTATTTACATGTCGAATTATTTTATCATTAAATTTAATGTCAACTGTTTTATTTTTATAATTATTAAAATTCATTAAATTAGTTTTGTCCAAGTTGATTTGTAAATTATTTTCTGAAAGCCATTTGACTATAGTTATCAGTGTGTTTATAATTTCAGTTTGATGTTCCTTTAAGGAAGCACTTTTATCCGTCATCAGCAAAGAGTATTGTCTTATGCTTTATAATTTTAGGTAAATCATTTATGCACAGCAGAAATAAAGGCGGTCCAAGAACACTTCCCTGAGGAACGCCGGAACATTTTTCCTCTAAATCGGACTTATAAGTGTGTTCTACTTGTTTCGAATTTAGAATAATATTTTGTATTAAGTAATAATATTCTATATATTATTATTTAATACAAAAATTGATCTTGTCTTTGACTAAATTAATTTTATGTTGTCTGATTTGCTTCTAACTCAGCTTAGAAACAAATAGTCATAAAAGAGGCTCTTTGCATATTTGCTTTAAGCAAACTTGCATTATTTAAAAATTGATTTATTTATTTAACAAACTTTATTGACAACATTAAATTTAAAATTAAAAGTATTCTGTACAAATCATTTTATGATTATGATTAAAGCTAAAAACATAATTTATTTCCCTTACTTTACTATTCGTGTTTACTCTTTGTGTTTGCTATTTGTGAACTTGACATTAGCCTGTCCTTTTCATCGACTATTCTTTCCATGTTCTTTCTTATTATAACTCAAGTTTACAAAATAGCAAATATTAATAGATAAGTAGAGTGCCGGCATTAAATAAAGATTGACACATGCATGAAGGCAAAAACATACCTATGTGTTGTAGCGTGTCGTGTTGTGACTATAGTTATGGTGAGAGTTTATTGTTCTGTGGTTGTGATGTATCAGAGAGCTATCTGTTTAATACATTCACAAACTATATAGTGATGCTAGTGCATAATACATTTCTTATAATTAGAGTGAGAATGGTGTCGACAGTCACAACACAACAGAAAAATAAATTTTTCCTTTAATCGGGTGAATGTTTGGATGAATAGAACATGCAAAAGTATTGCGATCCTTTGCGAGTACCATTTTGCGATACTATTCATGGGTTGGCATTCTAGTTGGCAGGCGCATTTGGGCAATGCCTAGTTGCCAGCCCTAAAAATGTCTGCCTACTCTAGAATTTGAGTCTCGAATACGATTTGAAAATTATTTGAAGCAATGTTAAAATACGCCCCTGTCTGCCCCCTCAGGGAACAGTGACATCAAGATCTTGTGGCAGTTGTATGACGCGTTCGTTCGTTAAACTAGCTCAATCCTATAATTGCTCAAATCGGACCAGCTCAAAACGTCTTGTATAATGCCGACCTTAACTTGAAGTCAAACGGCGATTACGGCGAGCGGTAAAATAGTGAACATGAAAATGGATCGTGAAAATAGTGATCGTGGAAGCTAAATTTGTAAAAAAAGTTTGCCATTTTTTGGATTTAAATTTTGGATTGATTCTGTCATTGAAATTTAGTTATTTTCACTTCATTGTTTTAATAAAACTATTAAGTGTATCGTAAGTTTTTAAAATCAACAGGAGTTCGAAGCCACCATGGATGTGGATACAGGTGAGATTTGTTTATTTCACATAACCTTAATTATGTGTTCATCTAAAGATTACTCTAGAGTACTGTAATTACTTGGTTAAATCGCAAATTTCCAGACACAAAATATTCGACCTTAACTTATGAAAATTTTAGTTTTGAAACTAGCTTGAAAACAAACAGCCAACAATATAAATTTATTTTGTTAGTATGTGTCATTAAGTATTCATTGCATGGTAATTAAAATGTTTCACCCAGTTTTGGTCTCAAAATAAGCAGATATGTACTAGACATTTCTGCTGATCAAAAAATTATTTATATATGTGGTATTGGTACTAAAGCAATCAAAGTTATCAAAATGTTTATTACCCCTAGGTTTGTGATAATTCCATCAACAAATAAATGTAATATTTTTTAGACTTTTTAAAGTTTTGAATTGTTATCGAGACATTTAAGTTTGTCTTTATTGTTTATCATTCATTTCTTTAGATGATGACTACTAATTTTACATTTCAGATGGTAGAAAATCCCGTTCACGCAGTAGATCTGTAAGTATTCATTGACAATTCAATAAATTATTATGACTATTACATTTGTGTCTCCACAAGGATTATTTTATGTGTTCTGGAGTGGCGATAGTTACTATTGGTTTTTGATGTAATGATTTTTCTTGTTGGTTCTTGTGAATAAAATATGATAAATATGATTTTATATATTTCTATAGGTTATCCCATAATTATACATACCAAATGTTAATGGCTAAATACTGTAAGTGATAAAAAATAAAATGTTCCAATGTAGCCCCAAAGTAAACACTGAGGTTTGTGTTGTGGGATGCTAGGGAACACATATAGTGTTACATAACTGGTTTCTGAAAGGCTGTTCAGCTATAAATTAGTTAATAAGCCATCGAATCTAATGTTAACTGCCAATTGTGTCGCTAAAAGTCTAATAAATTAACCACTCTGTCATTTGACAACATGTCAAATTTAGTTCAAGACACAAGATATTTTGGGCACTTACGCTGGACATTGGCTACAAGAAAACGAACAAAGAATATCAACATAAAAACTTCTCAGTGTGGAGTTAATGCTTTTAGTGTGAGCAGGATTGAATTTTTTTTATTGTTGGCACTTAGTATGTTAATAAATGAAAAATGTGGTGATAACAACTAGACTTGCAACAAACAATATATTCGGCAGTATACCGAATATTTGCCGAGGCCCCTGACCGAATAGCTGAATATTAGGCAAAAGTATTCGCCTGGATTTTAGCACCAAAAACTTGTACAGACGTGATTGCTTCGCGCTCCTTTGTTTTGTTCTAATCTGCCGTCCTCAAGCAAAAATGTGGCTAAATGACAAAACCAACTTTTGAGATATGGCCAAAAATGGCGCATAAACTTAAATTATTGCTATTATGTAACCATTAATCACATGACTGAATGAATTAAAAACTGTTAACTTGATTAATACAGAAAATGATTAAATTATGTACCTGTTTTATGTACCAATGACTACTTAATAAATGATCATAAAAGAAATGAGAACCTTACCCTTCTAAATTTTGATTACCACAATAATTCAAATACATAGAATCGTCCATTTTTCCAATCCAGAAGATGATTATGTACCTGTGTTATGTACCAATGACTACTTAAATGATTGTATAACAGAAATGAAAATATGAATATATATGTAATCAATCGATTTTAATTTTTCATTTTACCAATTATTTCTCTATGACAAAATATATTATTTAAGTATTCGTTATTCGACTGAATAATATGTAGATATTCGGTATTATGCCGAATATAATAAAAGCAGACGAATAGGCCGAATACCGAGTAGTAACTGAATATTTGTTGCAAGTCTAATAACAACCTCTTCATGACAAATGAAAATTTTAAGATAAGTAAATTTTTCATTGGTCTTTGTTTTAGAAACTCAACTATATTTAATATTTCTGTTAAATTGACAGGCATGTTAGTTAAATAATGATTTAACAAACCTTTCAGAGACTGGGTGTTGGATAAGTATATTTTTATAGGAATAATATATAGACAGCCATGATTTAAGTACAAATTCTTAGTTTCATCCTCTCAGAGTGATCCTTTGAGTGGGGAACACCTTGATAACTTACATAATTTCTACTCAGACCATACCTTGGATTGGATTCTTGCTTGTCTTTATTATGCATAACTGGTCAAGTTATTATTTGTGTCTGTTTTTTTTCCTCCAGGCAGAGTCAGCATCAAAGATGTCTCACGACGGCTCTGCGCACTCGCGTCACTCGTCCAAGTCTGGGTCGCGGTCTCGGTCGCGCTCCGGGTCGGGTAGTCGCTCTCGCTCTCACTCACGTTCCTCACGCTCTCGTTCTCGCTCACACTCTGGCTCGCGTTCTCGTAGCAGATCCCACAGTAGCGCTCGCTCTAGAAGTGGCTCACGAGCAAAATCCGTTTCGCCGTCGCCAAACAAATCCAAATCCCGGTCAAGATCCGGATCGCCGCGCTCGCGCAGCGGATCACCAAGAAAGTCCAGGTCTAAAAGCGGATCTCCGAGAAAGTCTAGGTCTAGATCTGGGAGCGAATCTCCTGCCAAATCGAGGTCTAGAAGTGGGTCTCCGACCAAATCGAAGTCTAGAAGCGGCTCACCTGCCAAATCGAGGTCTAGAAGCGGATCTCCAGCAAAATCTAGATCAAGAAGTGGATCCCCAGCTAAATCTAGATCGAGAAGCGGATCCCGAGTCAAATCGAGGTCCAAGAGTGGCTCTCCAAAAAAAACCAGATCTCGAAGTGGATCACCGGCCAAGTCTAAGTCCCGCAGTAGATCTCGAAGCAAGTCCAAGTCTAAAAGCAAATCTCCGGTGAGAAGCAAGTCGAAGAGTCGGTCCCGGTCCCCGGAGAAGATGGATGTGGACGGAGAACCGGACAAGCCTGGCTCTCGCAGCAGTTCGCGAGCCAAGTCACGCTCGCGGTCAAAATCACGCTCTAAGTCTCCCGGAGGTAATTTAAAAAGTATACAAAATATATTTTTAGTTACGTGAGAAACTCAAAAATTGTGTAAATAAAAATAGTGCAAACAATTATAAACAGTAAATGTACAACACCCCCCAAACAAAAATATTTAGTTATATTATTTATAAAATATCCTTAAACAGCACTAATTTGTAAATAACTTACCTATTATTGAATTATCAGTTTAAGTCATCGAGAACCTAAAAGTAGGTTTATTTTAATCGATTTATGTCAGTAAAAATTGTTATGATTTCATAATGTCTCAAATTACACTTGATCGTTAGACTGTGTTCGAGTGCACAACAGACATTACTTGAATTTGGGCACCCGAAGTAATATTTACACTGGAGACTGAACCCGTCAGTCTGTCAGCCACTAAAAAACTACCCAAATACAGACATACTAGCTTTCTCTTATTTACACTTAATTGATAACCCAAATTTCATTGGCACTCAAGTATAATAGCGCCATAATAGGGTATTTGACAAGTTTTAGAAAACGATCTTACGTTATAAATTTACTAATGTTTATAGAGTCTATAAAAAGTGGATATTCATCATTATGTTTTGTATTTCGGTAAAAAAGCCAAATTTCAAGTTACCGCGAAAAACGTATCTCTGGACAATATGGCGTCTCACTGGTGTGTGACGTCACACGACTGTCATTAAAACGTCAAACCATACAATCAAATGTCATTTTAACCGGAAGTTTACTTGCGTGTGACGTCATTTTAGGCTCCACCAAACCCAAGCGTTTTGGGTCACGTGACAATAGACAAGAAAACTATTATCTTTATCGTGGGGTTTTAGTAAAATTATGAATATTTTTTCTGTAAAAATAGTAAAAACTCCTGCCATTATTCATTCTAAATACAGATGCTAACAATTGGCACTTTATTTTTAATACTGTCAAATACCATATTGCACAATTAGTGAGTTAAAGTGGAGACTACTAAAAAAATTTTTTTTAGTAATATAACCTAAATTGTTGTCTCAATTAGCTAGTAAAGTTTCTCAGGTAACTTGAAATTCACAATGTCTTGTTTTAAACTTTCAACATCATAGTACTTTATAATGAAAATTTCACTAGAAACTAACACTCTTTCTCTATCCGGGTGACTGCACTGTAAACTACTGCTAATGGTCAGCGTATTCGACCGCATAGCGAAGGGTACGGGTTCGAGTCCCGTCTGCTGCCTAGTTCGCGTGGATTTTTTTTTCTAGTAAGATTAAATGTAAACAATTAGCAGTTAAATGCTTAAAACATAAATAATATAGCTACAGTAATTTATGATATTTATGGGATTGCTACCATATGTACCGTGTATTTATTGAGTTCCGATATTTTGGTAGTGTCACGGTAATATTATCTATACAGTATTGTGACTCCGCCCTGTCCTTGAAAATAAATGCCTACGACCGAGCGCTGCGCTAGCTCGCGGTAGGGCCGCCCGCCTACAGTATTTTATTGACGACCTCCGTGGCCGAGTGGTTTGTACGCCGGGTTTCATGGTGTCGCCGACTCGAGATGTCCCGGGTTCGAATCCCGGTGGGGGCAGATGTTTGTGTGATGAATACGAGCATTTGTACTCCAGTCGTGGATGTTTAATATGTAGTTCTATATAAATATACTATTATATGTACAGTATATGTATTCTATCCGTTAACCTAGCATCCCATAACACAAGCCTTATAGTGCTTACTTTGGGGCTAGGGTAATTGGTGTGAGTGTTGGAAATATTTATTTATTTATTTATTTATGTAGTTTTGTTTTAAACGCGAGTATAGGATGATTACTCGTTTGTCTCTTTTTTTCATCCTAACCACTTATTTATATATTATTCCAGATATTTTGCCCGATGGAAAAACCGAAATAGATAAATATTAGAAACAAATTACGTACTTGTAGATAGGTATATAAAAAATATTCTATAAAGGTAAGACACCTTTCCAATATTTCAGGTAATTTAATAAATTATATCTCTGGGTGTGTTATTGAAGAGTTCAAGCAACCAAAAACAGCAATTGTGCTGTTGTACGATATTGATAGTCGTTTGTTCTTTTCCAAACTAAATTATGTAGGTATCTACTTAATTAAATCAAATATTTACAATACAAAACGCACGTTTAAGCACGGCTACCTGCATAAAAAACAATTCAGACCGTTCGGTCGTCGTTGCGGCGCACAGTGGGTGAAAAAAAGAGGTCCCCTTTCATAGGATTTTTGAAAAAATAAAAATGTATATTATCCGTTTAAGGTATGCGGTTTTATTGCACATATCACTACATTGAATAATAAAATAGTTTGGGGAATTTCCTTTTAATCTAACACCATAAAGCACGGGCTTTAGAGTTTCAAATGTATGAAAACGGAATTTGTTTTGCTCATAACTTGTCTCGGTCTTCTACGGTCAAGCTGAAACTAATAGGGATTATTACCGGGTCTGTTACGAAGCCATGTGACCTTTGACCTTCACCCCGGACGGCCCCGTTCAAAAGATACGAATTTTTCAAAATGCTTATTAGGGTAATTTTGCTTTACGGGGTTATGTGTCTCAATAAACAGTTTGTTTATGTTTCTTGCCCAGCATTTAGTTATTAATATAACACAGATTATTATCTAATAAAACTATACATATATATATAGATAACGACACCATACAACTTAACTTTAAATAAAAGCGTCCTTATTCAAAAGATATGGAATTAATATAAATAGATAAAAGAAATAGTTTTAAGAAAAAGAAAACAAGAATACAATATTGTAAAGAATTACAATGAAGTCGTTTAAAGCCAACAATTTAATCTTTTGTTTGACAATCGCTTAAAAGTCGTACACCATTAACGAGAGCATCATTACATATAAACAATAGAAACTCTATTGTGGCGGGTTTTGGGAAATTCAAAGGGTTACCCACAGTCATTACCTGCAATTGTTAGCCTATAATAATTACTGATTATTTGCTTTTATTGTGGGTAGGTGAATAAATAATACGTTGTTATTATTATTATTCAACAATGACTTCGATTATAATAAATACGGAGTACACCTGTATTTCATTTCACTTATCATTATTGATTCGTACCGTAACGTTCTCTTTGCTCAAATTTTAAGTTGCTCAGAATGGAAGGGCTTGTGTCTAATCTCGACGTATATATATATATGAGGCAAAAATATTTTAGTGCCGACATGTTATTTCAAAAAGTACTCGATTCAGTGAGATTTTCATTATCTGAAGAACAAAAGACAACTCTTAAAACGTTTTGTGCTACATATACGAGTAAGCTTAAACGCAAATGGAAGTCAGCTAATTACACACAAGGGAATTTTATAAAGAAGTTTGCTGACTGGTTGGACCAAGAAATAAAATGGCCAGAGTTTGTTTCACTAGACATAACTGAAGAACAATCAAATATTATGACGAGTTTTGAAGATCCTTCAACAAGTATTTCAACAGTAACAAGACCTAGTTTATCAACGGAATGCACTGTTCCTCATAGTGTGGCTGTGTCGACATCAACCGCTACATTTAGTCCTCGAAAAGAATATGCCAATTTGAGTCCACTGCAAAAAAGAAGAAGAACTGAAAATCTCATTGCCGAAAACGATTTTGAGACACTTGCTTATGCCCTGGCTAGGAAAGCGGAAAATGAAAACCAAACGGACTTTGTAGAATTAGTGAAGCATTTGATTAAAAAGCCTGAAGATGCGCCAATGCTGCGAGCCTGCCTGAAATCGACGAAACGAACTTGTCATACCGATAAGGCACTCGGTATTTCAACATCACTGAAATTATCGAAATGGCAGTATATTACATTGAGGCAGACAATGAGAGACATGGGGTGTGATATACTTCCATCGTATGATGCTTTGAAGCAAGAGAAGAAGGAGTGCTACGTTGAAAAAGAAGACATGGTAATAACTGAGACTGAAGTTAAACTTAAACTTCAGTCTATTTTAGATATTACGGTCAAGAGACTATTAAAAACTCTGGAAACTGATTTAACTGGCAGTAATTCGACTCTTATCAGTAAATGGGGGTTTGACGGTGCATCTGGGCAAAGCAACTACCAACAAAAAATTGACGGCGATGATTCAAGCATCTTCATGTGTTCATTTGTGCCGTTAAAACTGGTGAGAGATGGTACTGATGAAATAATATGGGAAAACCCCAAAGCGTCTTCAACGTTTTACTGTCGACCCATTTATTTTAAGTTTGCTAAAGAGAACGATTTGAATGTTAAAGAAGAAATGAATTCAATTGATACGAAAATTGCTGCTCTACGTCCAACTGTTATCGATGGTGCAAATGTAAAACACGTTCTGCATATGACGATGAGTGATGGTAAAATAACTTCATATTTATCAGATACATCCACAGCTACATGCGATATATGCAAAGCAAAACCAAAAGAAATGAATGATATCGACAAGGTTACTCAGAGAACTCAGTCTGTAGACATGTTTAAGTTCGGTCTGTCTTCCCTCCATGCACGAATTAGATGCATGGAATGTATCTTACATATTGCTTACCGTCTCGACTTCAAGAAATGGCAAGCTAAGGGCGAAGATTTGAAGCAACAGTTAAGCCAAAGAAAAAAGGCTATTCAAGAACAATTCCGGACTGAAACGGGGCTACTTGTGGACGTTGTTAAACAAGGGGCTGGTACAAGCAACGATGGAAACACAGCAAGAAGATTTTTTGTTAATCCTCAAATTACTGCTCAAATAACGGGTGTTGATGAAGAACTCGTTAGAAGATTTGGAGTATCTTCAGGCTATCTCATGTGGAGAGTTTGTGGACGTGGAAAAATTCCGCCAATATTGTGCTGCTACAGCACGCAAATATGTCGAGCTCTATGAATGATATTATATGCTCTCAAGCGTGCATAAATTACTCATTCATGGTGCCGACATAATAGAGCACAATAACTTTATACCAATCGGCAAGCTCTCTGAAGAGGCCTCTGAAGCTCGTAACAAAGATTTTAAAAACTTCAGAACTTTCCACTCGCGTAAATCTAGCAGGATTGCAACAAATGAAGATATTATCAATAATTTGTTAATATCGTCTGACCCATACCTATCAAGTTACAGGCCTAAAATATGTCAACGAAATAAACCTCTCACAAATGAAGTTAAATCATTATTATTAACTTCTTGTGAAGATAAAGAAAATATAGAGTTTGTAGATGTAGGTAATGTATCTGATTATGACTTTGATTAGTATGTGTTCTTTCCCTCAAATCAAATTATATCAAACTTTGTATTTTTATTTTTTTGTATCTTTGTATCATATTAATATAAACAGTTTACGTATTTAAGAACTGTTGTAGCCAATTTGAGTTCTACTAATCTTTTATACTTTAGCTTGTATGTGTGTAGTAATTTATACAGTTGTGGCTTCCTTATTATGCATTATTTAATTTATGATATCAAGCTTAGTTACTAATTTAAGTTTTGTAAATAAAAATATTGATGTTAATAATTTTGTTTTATTCATAATGTAAATAGTTTATTTTATCGTTTGGCAGTAACATATCAGAATCTCCCTTACTACATTTACTAATATTAATAACCAGCTAGTTTATCTGGAAAAACACTTTGTTCAATTTTAAGCTTAGTCAGTTAAAGTTCTAGGTATCCCAAAATAAATATATTTGATCAAACCCTTTCTTAGATAGACATTGTAAGTGTAAGTATGTTTGTTTGACAAAATTAATTATTATAGGCAAACAACGGCAGGTAATGACTGTGGGTAACCCTTTGAATTCCTCAAAACCTGCAACAATAGAGTTTGTATTGTTTATATGTAATGATGCTCTCGTTAATGGCGCGCGGCTTTTAAGCGATTGTCAAACAAAAGATTAAATTGTAGGCTGTAAACGACTTCATTGTAATTCTTTACAATATTGTATTCTTGTTTTCTTTTTCTTAAAACTATTTCTTTTATCTATTTATATTAATTCCATATCTTTTGAATAAGGACGCTTTTATTTAAAGTTAAGTTGTATGGTGGCGTTATCTACTGTGTAGTTTTATTAGATAATAATCTGTGTTATATTAATAACTAAATGCTGGGCAAGAAACATAAACAAACTGTTTATTGAGACACATAACCCCGTAAAGCAAAATTACCCTAATAAGCATTTTGAAAAATTCGTATCTTTTGAACGGGGCCGTCCGGGGTGAAGGTCAAAGGTCACATGGCTTCGTAACAGACCCGGTAATAATCCCTATGAGTTTCAGCTTGACCGTAGAAGACCGATACAAGTTATGAGCAAAACAAATTCCGTTTTCATACATTTGAAACTCTAAAGCCCGTGCTTTATGGTGTTAGATTAAAAGGAAATTCCCCAAACTATTTTATTATTCAATGTACTGATATGTCCAATAAAACCGCATACCTTAAACGGATAATAAACATTTTTATTTTTTCAAAAATCCTATGAAAGGGGACCTCTTTTTTTCACCCACTGTGCGGCGCGGCGGCACATTCGCGACTGGGTGCCCGCCGAGAGCACATCGAACTCGAGTGCCGTAGGTATGACTCGCTTTCCGACCGTTTGTATGAAGATAGAATACTGTATGATATTATTACCGTGGCAGTGTTGCAAGCGCCGCCATGATCACGGAGTAACTCTTGCAACAGTGCTGTAATATCGGAAAGTCGCTAAAAACAAGGTACATGGTAACAATCCCGTAAATAACATAAATTACTATAGTAAAGGAAGTAGTTAAAAATTGTTAATGGGAATAAAGATTTATTTCCCTTAGTCACCCTCACACTATAACATGCGAATATTTAAACTGATTCAATTCAATTTATTTTTTTACTTTGTAGATGTTGAATTTTTTCATAAAGTTGCATGAAACTATGGCTAACGCAGTCGAAGTTGCAACAGTCAAAGATAGTTAGGGTCAATAAATATTATTTTGAAGTGTTTGTGGTGTAAGCAATATCCATCCAATGAATGCGACGTTCAATCGAAATTTATGTAAAAGTGAATTCACTCGGAATGCATGGATGATTTTATGAGTTTTGGTGACGTCACTAGATAGATAAATTACTTAATATTTACTTTTCGAAAATTCAATTTATGCGTTTTTCGTGTTGCATATAGCATTTGGTTTCTCTTTTTACCTAAAAATGGACGCGAAAGTTACAATGATATATTATTCTGCAGGATCCCGTGCTAGCCGATCCCGATCCCGCTCACGATCCCGGAGCGCGGGACCAGAAGGTAAAGTACATCTCACGAGTATAAAGTATAAAGAATAGCGTATGTGTATAAAGAAATTTATACACATACGCTCAATTATAGTACATTTAATTACATCACACACAAACATTATTTTATTGGCTAAGAAAGGATTCAAAACATCTTTTAGATTAGATCTCAATACCTTAACAAAATTGTAGTAAATATTTCTCTAATGAATTTAGGACCACTTGCACTAAAGTTCTTACTTCAATTCAAATTAAAAGGTCAATAAGTTGTATATTTAAGCCTCATTCTATCTCTGTTTGACTTTAAGCAGTTGACAAAAGTGGAATGATGACTGTGTTATACATATTTAAATATTAATTTGAATAACTTTGGTGCGAATTGGTCTTAAAATTTAAAATGTAGCAGTTTAATAGTAAAATTAAAAATACGTTATATTTATACCTTTCCCATAAATAAAACCTTATTTCATTTATCAGCACATAGTTTATAGAGTTTTATTTTTATGATTAATTATTTATGCCTATTTATTGTTTAATTGTTTCATCGATTCTATCTTTGCAGGTGATGCGAAGAAGAGGCGATCTCGTTCGCGATCCCGGAAATCCGGGTCCCGGTCTAGGTCCCGGTCCGCGGGCTCCCGGTCTCGATCCCGGTCGCGGTCCAAATCCCGCTCAAAATCCCGATCCAAATCCCGTTCTCGGTCCAGATCTAAGTCCCGGTCTCGATCCCGATCTAAATCTGGTTCCCGGTCCCGGTCGCGGTCCCGGTCCCGGTCGCGTTCAAAGTCCCGGTCCAGGTCTCGATCTAAATCCCGCTCAAAGTCCCGCTCGAGGTCGCGCTCTGGCTCCGCTAAATCAGGATCCAGGTAATGTTTCGTACTTGTCATTTTTACTCTATTTCACTATGATCACCTGGGTTAGCATAGGTGACTCTTTAGTGTTCTTTGATTATTATTTTGGTATCCTCAAATAACCTTTGAATAAATATCACTAACGCAACGTTAAAATTTAAAAAATACTTCAATACTTACCTAAGTAACTTTTAAAATTGAAATCGTAAAATTTGAAACATGGTCCTATGTAGATTTTAGTTATGTAAATTCAGCTTTTAAAAATTACACTATATAGTCCGTACTCAATAGATTTACTTTAAATTGAGTAAGAATCAACCAGTCGTGTGCTACGAACTAGCCTCGAGTTTGTGAGTATTGCGGTCCATACATTAATTTTAGAGGCGTGAAGAAGCATTTCTGCAGACTAGCAAGGTGAGGATGGTTGGTGTGGCAGTTTATAACTGCTGTACCAGCTATCTTCGCGTTTGTACTTTATTACCACATAAAATCAGGTGGGTAAAATCATCATATATATAAAAAAAAAAACAATTACTTAACGAATTTTCCTATACAAAGACTATAGACAAAGCGAATTTTAGCATTATATATAAAAGTGAACCGAGGACCAAGCACGAATTTTGACTGCTTCGTAATCGTATCGTCATCGTCATATTTTGTATGGAAGGAGCCAGTTTGTTCCTACGTCCGCGCAGGCGCTGCTTCGTTTTCATAGAAAATTTATGAAAACTATGAAAAATCTTTATTTCAACGCCACAATTTACAAAACAACATCACCCTGACTCCCGATGCGAGTAAAACTTGTGTATCAGAAGCCAGTCCCTTCGTAAGATGACAAAACTTTTTAGGTATTGTTGACTTTAGACAAATGAAATATGAGAAAAAATATCCACATTAACTACATTAACAGCGCGTGTGTGTGTGCGTGCGTGCGTGCGTTTGCTTGCAAAAAGATCAAGATTAACTTTGACGATACGATACGATTATGGAGGCTAAAAATATGCTATGTTCAACAGCGAGAATATATTCTAATTTTAACGGCTATCTTTTAAAGTTATATTTTTTATACATAGCAGATATTAGTTTGAAAAATCTTCTAATCCTTTACAGTGCAAAATTATCAATTAAGTAAACTACACTTTGCTCCCGGTATTGCACGATTTTAAAATCCAGCAAGAATCGAGATGATGACATTTTTTTTTCTATTAGGTAGAATATTAAATGGTATGGAACACGTTTTCTATATTCACATTATCAAAATATTACAAACATACATTGATATGAAATGTCGTTTGACGTCACGTCTTGGTACAAAAGTCAAAAGTCTTTGACGCGCTTCATTTTTGTATATTTTTGACTGATTGACAAAAGAAAAAATGGTGTTCATTTTTTATTGATAATTTAACTGACGGATTGAATAGGATTTCGTTATTTTTACCTTGTCTTCATCCCTGTTACAACATTGAATAATATATTATGTTTGGTGTAGGTCTCGTTCCCGGTCCAGCTCCCGGTCCGGGTCCGGATCGCCCTCCAGAAGAGGTCAGTATCAAGTGTTTTTATCAATTGCGAATGTTTCTCATTCATACTAAAAACTTACGTTGTGAAATCTACTGTGAATATTTTCAATATTCCAGTAACTGACAATTTTAAAATAATAATCTCCATCAAGAGGTAAATTTAAATTAAAATAAAAAAAAAAACTGGCCAAGAGCGAGTCGGGCTAAGACACCAAAGGTTTTTTACAAATGTGTAGGGTAACAATGGTGTCGATTCTGGCAGGATTCTCTAAACTTAAACTAAATTTAAGATCAGTCTGTCCTTTTCATTCTGTATAGAGAACGGCAGGGATACACTGTTGTCAAATTTAAGTTTAGCTTTAGAGAATCATGCCAGAATCAACACCAATATAAGATCTTATTTCGTAAACTTAGATGTTTGAATTTTTCACAGCTTTAAGGGTTTAATTGCAACTCGATACCTCCATGCATTGACATGAAATAAAATGAAATTATATTTTATTGAAATTGACTTATTGAAGGCTCTTTTGAATCGTCTAATATTTTTTACTATAATCAGAACATCATTTAGCCGATGAGAAGAATGGAACCAAGAATCTCATCAGCAAATGCTATGATAAAATCTTGTTGCTAGCAATACAAGTTTATTCACATTTTGATTGCTGCGTCATACAGTATAATTACAAACAGTGTTCATATTAGGTATAATTCGTTCTTGAGGCAAATGGCTTTAACTGACAGACGGACGCACAGACCGACAACAACCAGGCATACTATAAAGTTCTTATAGATTTTCCTGAAATTTATAATAAGCAAAGAGCTACATATCATATTATTTAAATTTTTTATATGCAGTTATTGAAATTCGTCGTAAAATATAGATCGGCTTATTAATTATGTAAAATGAGCCTCGAGTCATGATCGGATCTGTACGTGTGTGACAGAAGGCAAGAAGCGTCGCGCAGTTCGCCTACAATCCGACGAGGAGGGCGGCGGTAGTGGCGGGGAAGAGGGGGAGGCAGCCAAGAAGGGGGAGGCGGAGGGGGAGGGGCAGGGGGAGGCGGGGAGGGAGGGGGGAGAGAAGCCCGCGCCCGCGGGGGAGGGGACCGTCGCCGACGACTCCTCGGATGATGACGGGCCTGTTACTGGATCCAGGTGAGGGCGGCGATTACTGTTCACTTATTGTTTTAAACTTTCGTGGTCACTAACATTATATTTATAACGGGATTGCTACCTTGTGATGTACCTTGCTTTTTATGAGACTGCGATATTTCGGCACTGTTGCAAGCGCCATGATCACGGAGTAACTGAAGTAATTGCGGGTCGGATGTCATTGGCAGATATATCGGTTTACCCTCTGACGTTGTCTTCAATTGCGCTCAACACCACGGGTCACATTCTCATTATTGTGAATTGCGAGTGAATAGTCGTTCTTCTTTTAGTTTTCGTTTGACTTTTTCACACATATTTCTTCAAAGTTGGTGTGAAATATCAGAACAAGAACGATGGCATAGTCTAGAGTTTAAATTCAACTCATACCGCCTTATTGCAAATCGTGAACCAAAGTTGTCATGTTTTCAATCCTTCTGTCTCTGGCTGTCTCTGTCTTCTTTTTAACAAACGAAAGTGGCAGCATTTGTTTTAAACTAGTTTAACTTTAGACTAAACGTTTTGAAGGCGAATAAAATCAACTAATATAGTTATCTTCTTTGATATAACGCTACTAAACTTTTGTTTGGGGAAATACTTTCTTTTGAAATCTTCCGTCTTTGGGTGTGTATATCCCCGTTGAGCCCTTAAAAAGAAAGAAAGAAGAAGAAGTACATTTACAAACTCGTGGCTATACACCAACTCACCTCACTAATATCGTAAATAACTATTGTGAACAGCGCGGACGCACAAAGCGGCATGTCAGACTTCGACATAATGCTCGCGCGCAAGAAGGATGAGAGGCGCGGCAGGAGGCGCCGGCGGGACATCGACATCATCAACGACAACGACGACCTCATCGCGCATCTACTGCAGCAGATGCGGACCGCCGCCGACGAGGACAGGGACCTCAACCGGCGCAACCAGCCCGCCGTCAAGAAGGTAACATCCTAGCGCACATCCGCGACCACATCCTTCACTGCAGCAGATGCGGACCGCCGCCGACGAGGACAGGGACCTCAACCGGCGCAACCAGCCCGCCGTCAAGAAGGTAACATCCTAGCGCACATCCGCGACCACATCCTTCACTGCAGCAGATGCGGACCGCCGCCGACGAGGACAGGGACCTCAACCGGCGCAACCAGCCCGCCGTCAAGAAGGTAACATCCTAGCGCACATCCGCGACCACATCCTTCACTGCAGCAGATGCGGACCGCCGCCGACGAGGACAGGGACCTCAACCGGCGCAACCAGCCCGCCGTCAAGAAGGTAACATCCTAGCGCACATCCGCGACCACATCCTTCACTGCAGCAGATGCGGACCGCCGCCGACGAGGACAGGGACCTCAACCGGCGCAACCAGCCCGCCGTCAAGAAGGTAACATCCTAGCGCACATCCGCGACCACATCCTTCACTGCAGCAGATGCGGACCGCCGCCGACGAGGACAGGGACCTCAACCGGCGCAACCAGCCCGCCGTCAAGAAGGTAACATCCTAGCGCACATCCGCGACCACATCCTTCACTGCAGCAGATGCGGACCGCCGCCGACGAGGACAGGGACCTCAACCGGCGCAACCAGCCCGCCGTCAAGAAGGTAACATCCTAGCGCACATCCGCGACCACATCCTTCACTGCAGCAGATGCGGACCGCCGCCGACGAGGACAGGGACCTCAACCGGCGCAACCAGCCCGCCGTCAAGAAGGTAACATCCTAGCGCACATCCGCGACCACATCCTCCGCTATATCCTTCATATCATCCTTGATTACAGTCTCGACTGCAACGTAGACTTGAACCGCAGTATTCAACCCGCTGTTAAGAAGGTACATCGGCGCCCGCATCGGTGGTTTTATCCTCCGTTACATCGCTGACTGCGTCCTTGACTTCATCCTCATTTACAACCTTGACAACATCCTTGACCATAACCTCGATCTCCATCCAACGAGCTCGCTGTTAAGAAGGTAACACCCTAAGGCATAGAACACAATGTATTGAACAAATTATGCAATAGGCTCCGAGACCACATCACGCGGTAACGACTCTAGCATTCCATAATATTGACTTGCACTGTAAAGTTATTACTTTGGTGCTAGGATTGGATAAGGTATATTTACTGTCAAGTAGCCTCACATCTTGGCATTGTGTTTCCCAGGTGTGGATGCTAAAGCGATTCATGTCTCAACCCATCAAGAAGGACTTACAACTAGCCTTCTCAGAACACAACGTATTGATTCATAAAGTCATTTTTCATAACATAATTATTAAACATTGTTTACCTGCATTCCGATTGCTGTGCCATACAGTATAAATACAAATTGTGTTATTTATACTAAGTGTAAAATATATTATTTCATAACATAGGCTTTACAGTGCTTACTTTGGTGTTAGGTATATTTACTGTCAAATAGCCTAACATCTTGGTGTCGTGTCTCCCAGTGTCGATGCTAAAGCAAGCCATGTCTCCAACCCATCAAGAAGGAGTTACAACTAGCCTTCTTAGAACACAACGTTTTGAACGTATTATGCGACTGGCTGACTCCGATGACAAATCACGCGTTTACGACTTTAGTATTCCATAATATAGACTAAACAGTGCTTACTTTGGTGTTAGACTTGTTTTAGGTATATTTATTATCAAATAGATTAACTAATATGTTGGTGTCGCGTCTCCCAGGTGTCGATGCTGAAGCAAGCCATGTCTCAACTCATCAAGAAGGACCTGCAGCTAGCGTTCCTGGAACACAACGTGTTGAACGTTTTATGCGATTGGCTCGCCCCCATGCCCAACCGGGCGCTGCCCTGCCTGCTCATACGCGACGCCGTGCTCAAACTGCTCACCGATGTAACTATATACGATCCATTCTAAACTCTATACAACTCTGCCCCATTTCGTACCTCAAGTATTAGGCTAAGATAATGTAATCATTCGGCCTGTTATTATTATTATTTTGAAGTGAAAACTTCTTTAGTGGTGTTGTACACTTTTTTGTAATGGGTAAAAAATGTTAAACTCGCGTCAAGGCATGTGGTCCGATCGCGTCAGGACACGATTGCGTCGTCAACCTTAGGCCCTGCCAGAATCATCAGCGCTGCAGCAGCCCTGGTGTTGTTGTAGTTATTAAGCTAAGGCAGCGACCTAGTTGGCCTATTTTGTCTTGTTTTATTTATGTTAATATGACTACGTTTAAGGCTAATAAATTTATTTCTATTGTAGTTCCCCTCAATCGACAAGTCCCTACTCAAGCAGTCGGGCATAGGAAAAGCGGTCATGTACTTATACAAACACCCGAAGGAGACCAAAGCGAACCGCGAGCGAGCGGGACGACTCATATCGGAGTGGGCCAGGCCCATATTCAACCTGTCGACAGACTTTAAAGGTCAGTACTTGTCTAGTTAGCCCTTCAAACTTCCCTTTGATTTTATATTTGAAAGAAGTAGCCTTGAGTAGCTAGTAAATATGTTTTGTGTTTTGAATATCCGACGACCTCCGTGGCCGAGTGGTTTGTACGCCGGGTTTCATGGTGTCGCCGACTCGAGGGGTCCCGGGTTCGAATCCCGGTGGGGGCAGATGTTTGTGTGATGAATACGAGCATTTGTTCTCCAGTCATGGATGTTTAATTATATAATGTATTTCTATATAAATATACTTATATATGTACCCTAGTATCCCATAACGCAAGCCTTACAGTGCTCACTTTGGGGCTAGGCTAATTGGTGTGAGTGTTGGAAATATTTATTAATTTTATTTAATATAATTAATAGAACTTTTACCAAGGAGTTGTCAAATTATCTAAGGTTCACTTGCAGCAATTTTGCTAAATCTCGATTTAGCTAAAATTAGCTTTATCCCATTAGCAATATTGCTGCAAGTGGGCCTTAATAATTACTAAAGTAAAATTTTAAATGAAACTTGGAATAAGTTTTTGAATTCAGAAAGAACTGTACCCCTAGCACGAACCATTAACGAATAGGGTATTTGACAAGTTTTAGAACATGATCTCACGTTATTGACTAATGTTTATGGAGTCCGTAAAAAGTGGATATTCATCATTCTGTAGTGTATTTCAGTAAAAATAACCAAATCAAAAACTCCATTTTCAAGTTGCCACGAAAACGTTTTTCTGGACAATATGGCGTCTTACTAGTGTGTGACGTCACACGACTGTTATTAAAACGTCAAACGATACAATGTAATGTCACTTTAATCGGAAGTTTACTTGCGTGTGACGTCATTGTAGGCTCCGCCAATCCCAAGCGTTTTGGGGTCACGTGACAATAGATAAGAAAACTATTATCTTTTTCGTGGGTTTTTAGTAAAATTATGAATATTTTTATTGTAAAAATAGTAAAAACCCCTGCCAATATTCATTCTAAACACAGATGCTAACAATAGGCTAGTTGCCTAAATTTTAAAAAGTGGTTAATAATATAATTTGGTGTTTAATTTATCCAAAAAAAAATTTATTTTAAATAAAATCATACAGTAACATTAAGTATTTTGTATTTTAAAAAAGTAATTTGAATTTCCATCTAAAACGCTCAAGACTGTCATGGCGTCTTGAATGACGTCACGTCGTGCAAAACCAACAATACGCTGTACGTCGATTAGTAGAATTATTTTGTTAAAAATGAATCCATCGTATTACAAATACTGTATAGTGCCCCAGTGTAAAAGCACAAGCATAAAAACGCCAGAAAAATTATTTATATACGTTCCAAACAATCCACAAATGCGTAAAAAATGGCTAGAACTTGCAAGGAGGGATCGTATTCATTGTTTATCAACAAAGTCAAGAATGTATTTTTGTGAAGATCATTTTAATGTAAGTATTTTGCATTATATAGTCTATGTAAACTAAATATTTCACAAGCCGGATAAATTATATTGCATTAAATTGATAAAATAATGATAATAGGTTGAGGTTATGTTAGTTGATTTAGTATCATGGTATGATTTAGTCTATTTGAGATTTAGTATATTTATTCATAATAAAAAACACTTCTTATTCTTGTTCTAGTTGCCAAATGACATGCTTAATTACACCGAGTATCATATTATGGGAAAAGTTTCACAAGTGCGAATGAAACCAGGTTGTACCCCAAGTAAATTTGAATGTCAAGAAGATAGAAAAAAACGGACATATAGCAGCACAGAACGACCATACATATTAAAGAAACAAAGAATGATGACAATAGCAGAGTGCCTGAATGAACCAGATGAAAGTAATACAACTCCTACACCAAGTTCATCTATCACAAATACTCAAGGTGTATATAAACAACACAAATTTTATTTTAAACAACAAGTACTTACCCACCCAGTTCAATATCATTATGAAGCTTTTATTATACTTACTTATTTTATGTTACTTATTTTTCAGATTTTCAAACAGATGAACAAAATGAACCAGTAATATGTGAACAGAAAGCAAATAAATCTGTACAAGTTTTAATAACACATAAATTTAGAAGCAAAGCTGTCCAGATCAATGTAAAAACAAAAGAACAGGCATTATCACCTGTTAAACCCTCAATAACATCTTGTTCCACATCACCATTTAAAGCTGAGTTAATAAAAAAATCATCAGCTTCTGTCTCCAACCTACACAGAATCACAAAAAAATTACAGGTTGAAGAAGAGCCCTCTGACAGTGACATTTCAATGTATACTGCATCTGTGGCCACCTCTGTTAGCTCGCAATCATTACTAGTAAAATCATCTTCTGATTGCAGTGAATTAATTGCAGAAGACAGAAAGCTAGAAGCTAATAAAATGCTGTTAAATACAATAAAAAAAATTGAAAAACGACCTAGTTTGTACATTGGTGTTCCAAGGAGCTGTTACTTCTTGATTGATTTATTAAAAGATGAAATAAATATTCCCAAGCATCACTTATTGCTCTGTTTAAATAAAATCAAATTAGATCTTAAATTTAATCAGATGACAGATGATTATGGAATAACTCCATCGCATTTAAGTAAAATATTTTCAAAAAATATTCCACTTATAGCCAGCTTCATGCGTCCTTTTATTGTGGAGCTAGATAGTAATTCAATTAAAAGGACCTTACCTATGGCATTCAGACACAAATATTATAATGTGAGTTGCATAATAGACTGCCTTGAAATAGAGGTACAAAAGCCGTCTAAGGCAGTAGATCAAGCTCTCACTTGGTCCGATTATAAAAAAGCCAATACAATAAAATATTTAATATCCTGCACACCTAATGGCTTAGTAAATTATATCTCACCTGGATTTGGAGGCAGAACAACTGATACATGTGTGGTTGAGTCATGTGACTTTGTAAAAACATTAAAAGGTGGTATGGTTGTTATGGCAGACAGGGGATTTAAACACATAGAGCAATATCTTAGAAGTTCAAATATTACATTAGTAAGGCCTCCAAGTGTTGAAACAGGAGTGAAGATGAGCAAATCTCAAGCAAAACTTACGAAACAAGTGGCTAGCCTGAGAATACATATAGAAAGAGTTATTCGGCGCTTACGTGAATTTTATATGCTTAAACCACATGCATGTATTAATTTCAAATTTGTAAAAATTCTTGATGAGATAATAATCATAGCCTGTGCTTTAATTAATTTGCAAAATTCCTTAATAAAATAATACACTAATAGAAACTCCAAACTTGTATTTTATTTATTTAAGATACATACACTCACTCTACACTCTTATATAACAAGGGATATATATAATTTTTCCAAAAATTTAACAATTTATTATTAATTAAGTTTTCAACATAGTCAAGATTTAATGATATGTTCATAATAGTAACATTTTTATTTTGACTATAGTTAGGGTCAGCTACACAGAAATAACAGTTATTCTTCTCTGACAAATACATTTGAAGCTGCATTTGGGCATAATATTTTTCTTTAGCCTCTCCATTTTTTATATAATTTTCAAAAGTCTTTGTACTATTCGGACATTTAATTTCGATAATACCATCTTCCAATATTCCATCAGGGGAACCAGCAATCATTGGATATTTGGAGTTTAAAAATAGGCCACACTTTCTAATTTTCTTTTTCAACTTTTTCTCCACTGTCTTCCTTACATCATCTTGTAGGACACGGCCACGTTTCATTGATGGCGTATCTGGAATTTTGCCACCTAATATGAGGCATACAAGTGTGCCATCACCTGTATTACATCGGCTTACTTCAAATGCTCTAGAGGCAGTTATTCGACCATATCTTTGTTCAAACCAGAGATTGCTACCTGATTGTGCCCTTGTTTCTTCTTCAACTTTCTTTATTACAGATGTTGTTAAATGTATTTTTTTCAAAAAATCTTCAACACATTTCTCCTTCAATTTATATACAAGTTGATGCATTGAGACAGCCTGTGTTTCACTTAAACAATAATTTGGTTGATATTTTAAAAGTTCACAGTCTTCAATTTTTCTTTTCCTTGCCTCTTCCAAAAACTTATTGAAAACAGACGAATTAGGCGGTAACACTGAACTGCCCTTAGACAAGTCTTTTGCTGTCATGTATTTTAAACTGCTACCAACTCTGGATAGCTTAGACTTTTTCCAGTAGCATTCTACCGCAGTACATGATGGTTCCTCACTTCTGCGATGAACCCACATGAGGAATGCAATCGCATGCTTGCAGCCGCCCTGTGATGCTATACAGTCTTGGCATTGGACAGAGATAATGATACCATCTTCTTAATCAATAACCATTGTACATTCATATAATTTGGCATGAACTTTATGTTCCGGACATATTTTGCACTTTACAGTACACATTTTAGTTTCTCGCTTCAGCTGCACATAGCTTACGGCATCGTCTCCATAAGAAGCTCGAGAAGATCTGTAATAAAGTTTATTTTGTTTATACTTCATGTGTTTAACCTCTAAATATGTCAAAGAAATGAAAATATATAGGTAGGTAAAAGACAATAAGTAATCTAGTACACTGAAATACTGCTAAATTTATCATAAATATTTTACACTTGTGCATACTTACATTGTAGTTTTAACATTGCGGAATTCCGATGAGCAAAAGTCGCTAATTGCCGCGAAAAATCTACCAAGCATAACGGCATCAATTTTGGGTAAATTATTGCTATTTGCTTTGGTAAATCCCGATTCTGGCTATAATATGCTTCCTTTCAATAATTAACTAAGAACAAATTGATAAATTGTATCAAAGTGAGACGGTGACATAAACAGATTCATGAAATGAACAGTGTTGCTAGGTCCGATTTTGGAAAATCGGGAGGCGTTATAGAAAAAAAACAGTAGATATATGGAAGGAGCTACAAGAAAAAACAGTAGAGGCGAAGGGGGGGGGGGGGGTCTAGAATTGGTAAATCAAATCAAGATATAGGCCAGTAACGAATGTATTTCTGTGACTTCTCGTTTTTTTAGACAATGACATTTATTTTATAATAATTAAGGTTACCTACATTATTAATGTCGGAAAATGCAACTCAACATGCAATTTAAAATAGAAACTCATATTCTAAGAAAAACAGTACAACAGGAGAAATTTCAGAAAAACAGGAGATCTCCTGTAAAATTGGGAGACCTGGCAACACTGGACATGAATGCCAAATCAATCAAATCTATGAAAACGTCAACCACAAACGTTTTACACGGCGTGACGTCAGTCTTTCTGATTGGTGTTTACTGTCACGTGACCTAATGCCTATTTTTTCCGAATTTATTTTCTAAAAATATTAAAAATCGTTAATTATTATCATAAATAGCTATATTTTTTGTTATCTGTATATCATAGTTCATATTTAGAAACTGGCACCCATCCGATTTATTGTTAGTTGACACAAGCCTATTGGCACTTTATTTTTAATATTGTCAAATACCCTATAACTAGTATTCGAATAATTTGCGAGTGCGAAATTGTCAGTGTTAAATTTTGTATGGAAACTTGAACAGCAGCGCCACAAAGTACGTAACGAGAACTAAAAATCAGTACACATTTGACAGTGACACTTCGGACTCGCAAACGTTACGAATTCGATATTGGTTCGTGCTAAGGGTACCGAATGCTTTTTTTTATGGTTATTTTGAAATAGCTTATAGCCTTACTATATTGTTACGTGTCGGGATGGGGTTCGAAATTATATGCCAGTTCACGATTGACAGTTCTTTATTCACCACTCGTTCACACAATTAACACACAATGTTAATTACAAAACACTCACTATATACTGTATTTCACTGTACAAGTCACTAAACTATCGCACTTGAACACTTTTATTGCACTTTGATCGCCTTTGGATTCGCTCCGAAATCGCTGTTGAAACTCAACTGTCTCTGCGCGGCGCCAATCGCGCTCATATGTGCCGATCGACGCATTCTAGAAAGTACCTGTTAAATTGAGAATTAGCTAGCACCCGCGAGTACGAAGTACCTACTTACACCTACGCAGGTAACGCGCATAACTTGTAAACAAGTGCAGATATCGTTGCACTTTCTCCCTTATGCGGCACTGCATAAGGCTCATTTTAGAATGAGCCGCCTTACTCGACCTCTATCGCGACCCGCGGTGATCTGGCAAATTCGATCTCTGGCACTTTCGCGGTTACGTTTCGAGAGCGTTTGTGACAATATTTTGGTAACATTCAACGATATTGAGATCATTTGGATAAGGCATATCAATAATTCTATCCTGATTTGATCTCCCCTAATAATAGAATAGGGAGATTGGGCCATGACCCACCATGCGGGCCCAGTGCGGATCGGTGGGTGCTAATGACTGCAGATGTAGCGGAGACCAACGGCTTAACGTGTCTTCCGAAGCACGGAGGAGTGGGATATAATGAGTTATTGGTCACCCATCCAATGACCGACCACTGAGAAAGTTGCTTAACTTGACCTTCAATGATCGCATCCGAAAGTGCTAATCATTTGCGCCATCGAGATCCCCGTAATATATATTTTTTGGTTGATTGTCAAAAGAGAAAATATACGTATGTAATTATTAAAAAAAACAATTGACACGTATATTTTCTATATTCGTAAAACTGGTGGACTAAATATAATTGCGTTTATTTCACTTCGTTATCCCCTTATTGAGTTATTTGTATTTGATTGTTAGCGATGACTCGCGAGGAACGCCAGGCGCGAGACGAGGCGATGGCGGGAACCAAACGACGGGACGAACCCGGACCCTCCAAGCGGGCCCGACCCGACGAGCCCGACCGGTGAGTGTATATACCGACCGTACACATATATCCCGACCCGACGAGCCCGACCGGTGAGTGTATATACCGACCGTACACATATATCCCGACCCGACGAGCCCGACCGGTGAGTGTATATACCGACCGTACACATATATCCCGACCCGACGAGCCCGACCGGTGAGTGTATATACCGACCGTACACATATATCCCGACCCGACGAGCCCGACCGGTGAGTGTATATACCGACCGTACACATATAGCCCGACCCGACGAGCCCGACCGGTGAGTGTATATACCGACCGTACACATATATCCCGACCCGACGAGCCCGACCGGTGAGTGTATATACCGACCGTACACATATATCCCGACCCGACGAGCCCGACCGGTGAGTGTATATACCGACCGTACACATATATCCCGACCCGACGAGCCCGACCGGTGAGTGTATATACCGACCGTACACATATATCCCGACCCGACGAGCCCGACCGGTGAGTGTATATACCGACCGTACACATATATCCCGACCCGACGAGCCCGACCGGTGAGTGTATATACCGACCGTACACATATATCCCGACCCGACGAGCCCGACCGGTGAGTGTATATACCGACCGTACACATATATCCCGACCCGACGAGCCCGACCGGTGAGTGTATATACCGACCGTACACATATAGCCCGACCCGACGAGCCCGACCGGTGAGTGTATATACCGACCGTACACATATATCCCGACCCGACGAGCCCGACCGGTGAGTGTATATACCGACCGTACACATATATCCCGACCCGACGAGCCCGACCGGTGAGTGTATATACCGACCGTACACATATATCCCGACCCGACGAGCCCGACCGGTGAGTGTATATACCGACCGTACACATATATCCCGACCCGACGAGCCCGACCGGTGAGTGTATATACCGACCGTACACATATATCCCGACCCGACGAGCCCGACCGGTGAGTGTATATACCGACCGTACACATATATCCCGACCCGACGAGCCCGACCGGTGAGTGTATATACCGACCGTACACATATATCCCGACCCGACGAGCCCGACCGGTGAGTGTATATACCGACCGTACACATATATCCCGACCCGACGAGCCCGACCGGTGAGTGTATATACCGACCGTACACATATATCCCGACCCGACGAGCCCGACCGGTGAGTGTATATACCGACCGTACACATATATCCCGACCCGACGAGCCCGACCGGTGAGTGTATATACCGACCGTACACATATATCCCGACCCGACGAGCCCGACCGGTGAGTGTATATACCGACCGTACACATATATCCCGACCCGACGAGCCCGACCGGTGAGTGTATATACCGACCGTACACATATATCCCGACCCGACGAGCCCGACCGGTGAGTGTATATACCGACCGTACACATATATCCCGACCCGACGAGCCCGACCGGTGAGTGTATATACCGACCGTACACATATATCCCGACCCGACGAGCCCGACCGGTGAGTGTATATACCGACCGTACACATATATCCCGACCCGACGAGCCCGACCGGTGAGTGTATATACCGACCGTACACATATATCCCGACCCGACGAGCCCGACCGGTGAGTGTATATACCGACCGTACACATATATCCCGACCCGACGAGCCCGACCGGTGAGTGTATATACCGACCGTACACATATAGCCCGACCCGACGAGCCCGACCGGTGAGTGTATATACCGACCGTACACATATAGCCCGACCCGACGAGTAAGCAAATGCAAAAGCAAAAAGTAGAATGCAAACCGAGGTTACTTAAAAGCGATGCTTGTGGAACCGAATTTTCATTGTATTTTTGTATTTTATGCAATATTTTGGTTATTGAACTCCTTCAAATCTGTTTTTGTCCCTTTTGTAAAATTGTTTTTTTTTTTCATTGTATTGTGAAAAGTTCTTCGATTGTTTCCTTTCGTTTATTTGTCGTTAACATTTCTTTGTACATAGGTGATAATCTAGATAAATAGGTGTTTAAATTAATATACCTATAGAAACACCTTTTTTTTTCTGGGAAATGCCTTGCGCATCCAACCATCGGGGGAGCGAGAAGAAGATATTTGGGACTCCTTTTTGCTGCTTTCAGCCAGCACTTAGGCCGGGTGAAATGAGCATGGCCTTATCTAACGCCCTGAACAGGGCCACTAAAAACCAGACAATACTCCTGCGGTGGTCACTCGGTGCACATTCTGAGACCCACCCCCATGAACATGCCCCGGAGTATCAGGGGCATCAGCATCCTAGGCCGGGAGGCTGCTAGGTGCGGAGACGCGGAACAATCCCTAAACGGGGATCCCGCGGCTTCGCGCTAAGCAGCATGGAGGGTATTCGCAGGGTTTTTTAGCGTATATTACGTCATAAAGCGCCCGTAAAAGTTATGGGGTCCTCAGTGGGTAGCCATTGCTGGGATTTATAAGGCTTGCGGGAGCCAGGCGTGAGGTCCGTTCGGCGGTTTGCCTCTTAAAGGCGCCGTCGTCTGTAAAAAGTATTTTTTTGCCTGCGTATAAAAAAAAAAGGGGAATCAGCATCAAGAGAGCTTGTGCAATGCGAGACGGCCTCCCCCCACCTCCAGGGCAGACCCGCGGCTCTCGCAGGAGTGGGAGGGAGAGCGTAGTTCTCTCCGTCCCTCTGCCGCCCCCCTTGGCCCTAGGAAGAGCCTTTTAAGCATCTATCGGCAATCGCAACGATCAGAGTCACTGTGGGGTGATGCTCCTATCCTGGTCCTAAGAAGGACCGTTGAACGGTGTTCAGCACTCGGAAGTGCTGACCATCCCAGGGTCCCTATGTGCCTCAGTGTTCCCCTTGCCCTAGTGCGGGCTATCCTCTTCGTCAGGATCGCAGCAGACGTGCCAGCGAGCGCCTGCCTCTCCTCCCCTCACCTTCTGCGAGATGACATCCTCGCAGAAGGAGACCACCGCCTGCCGTGACCCGTCACTATGCGTGCAGCATGGCTTTCACCACATTGGACAGTGAGAGATCCGTCCCTACAGTGTCCGCCAGAGTGCTGCACTGCCGAGTCCACCTCTATAGTGTGGTGCGCCGTGTCCTCGGCATCGCCGCCCTCGTGGCATGCGGGCCCGCCTCCCTCTGGATCCGGTGCAGATACTCTCCGAAGCACCCGTGCCCGGAAAGAACCTGCACCGATCGAAAGGTAAACGTCCCCCTGCCCCTGTCCACCCGTTCCCTGAATACCGGGCGAATCGCGCCAATCGTACTCTCCCCCGCCGTCGGGTTGTCGAGTCGCTCATTACAGCTACGCATGCCTGCCGCTTCCTCTATTGGGGCACGCTCTTTCCTTTCCCTCCTTCCCTGGTACACTTCTGCAAGCGCGAGTGCTTCCAGATCCTAAGAGGGCATCCCTGTGAGGATACATGTCGCTTAATATGACATTATGCGGTTCGCCCGTGCCGCTCTTATGGCCCCCATCCTTTGCGGCCTTCCGAGCTCTGCTTCGTTGACTGCGCTGAGGCTGTCGCCCCACACCGGCGCCCAGTGGCGGTACAGTGCCATGCCTTTAATAACCCTCACGTACAGCTTTCGGCAGCTGGCTCCAGAACCCCCCACATTAGGGAGCAGTCGACCTAATGCCGCCGCCGCACTCACCAGCTTCGAGGTCGGTATAAGTGGTAGTCATACCGCCTCTTCCCATCGAGTTCCAATCCCAACTACTGCATGTACGGCTTTATGGCTATCCACCGCTCGTCCACCGTTACTCTCGCGCCTGCGGGTGGTCTGGCCTGTGGGCCATGATACATAATGGCCTCAGTCTTAGAGACGCCACCTCGAGCCCTAATGCATGGATTCGCGCAATCGCTACGTGAGCCCCTCCCGCTGCGCAACTTGTAGCCTCTCCGTAGTCCCGGTCCCGGTCAAGAACGAGATTGTCATCTGCATAGCGGATGATTTTTATCCAGGGCACAGGGGCTGCACGGAGAGTCCGGTCGGAGCCCATGTTCCACAGAAGGGGTCCCAGAACCGACCCCTGCGGAACCCCACAGGTCATCCTTCTCGACGCTATAGAGTCTACCGCCCGCATGTATTGTACCACCCGCTCCTCTAGGTAATTTTCAATCAACCTTACTAGGTAAGCGGGATGCTGGTGGTACTTAAGTACCACTTTTATAACTTCGAAGGGGAGAGTGTTAAACGCATTTTTGATGTCCGGTGACACAGCGAGAGAATCCTCTCGATTACCTTTCCCGCCTCATCCAGGGCGATGACCTATTTAAACACCTATTGTCTTTAAACAATTTTTCTTTTGTCGTTTTCGTAAAATAGTTTTTGTTATTGATATCTTTCATTTATTTGTTATTAGGTCGCGATAGAGGTCGAGTCGCATCACTCGACCTCTATCGCGACCCGCGGTGCTCTGGCAAATTGGATCTGTAGCACTTTGGCGGTCACGTTTGGAGAGCGTTTGTGACAGTATCGTATTGTATATTTGTGCAGCACCGTCCGTCCGGGCGAGCCAGGATGGGTGGCGCGCGCGCGGGTGCCGCTGCCCTCCAACAAGGAGTATGTGGTGCGGCCCAAGTCTACCAACGAGACCGACATGTCCAGGGTATACATATATACATATATACATATACGGGTGCCGCTGCCCTCCAACAAGGAGTATGTGGTGCGGCCCAAGTCTACCAACGAGACCGACATGTCCAGGGTATACATATATACATATATACATATATACATATACGGGTGCCGCTGCCCTCCAACAAGGAGTATGTGGTGCGGCCCAAGTCTACCAACGAGACCGACATGTCCAGGGTATACATATATACATATATACATATACGGGTGCCGCTGCCCTCCAACAAGGAGTATGTGGTGCGGCCCAAGTCTACCAACGAGACCGACATGTCCAGGGTATACATATATACATATATACATATATACATATACGGGTGCCGCTGCCCTCCAACAAGGAGTATGTGGTGCGGCCCAAGTCTACCAACGAGACCGACATGTCCAGGGTATACATATATACATATATACATATATACATATACGGGTGCCGCTGCCCTCCAACAAGGAGTATGTGGTGCGGCCCAAGTCTACCAACGAGACCGACATGTCCAGGGTATACATATATACATATATACATATATACATATACGGGTGCCGCTGCCCTCCAACAAGGAGTATGTGGTGCGGCCCAAGTCTACCAACGAGACCGACATGTCCAGGGTATACATATATACATATATACATATATACATATACGGGTGCCGCTGCCCTCCAACAAGGAGTATGTGGTGCGGCCCAAGTCTACCAACGAGACCGACATGTCCAGGGTATACATATATACATATATACATATATACATATATACATATACGGGTGCCGCTGCCCTCCAACAAGGAGTATGTGGTGCGGCCCAAGTCTACCAACGAGACCGACATGTCCAGGGTATACATATATACATATATACATATATACATATATACATATATACATATACGGGTGCCGCTGCCCTCCAACAAGGAGTATGTGGTGCGGCCTAAGTCTACCAACGAGACCGACATGTCCAGGGTATACATATATACATATATACATATATACATATACGGGTGCCGCTGCCCTCCAACAAGGAGTATGTGGTGCGGCCCAAGTCTACCAACGAGACCGACATGTCCAGGGTATACATATATACATATATACATATATACATATATACATATACGGGTGCCGCTGCCCTCCAACAAGGAGTATGTGGTGCGGCCCAAGTCTACCAACGAGACCGACATGTCCAGGGTATACATATATACATATATACATATATACATATATACATATACGGGTGCCGCTGCCCTCCAACAAGGAGTATGTGGTGCGGCCTAAGTCTACCAACGAGACCGACATGTCCAGGGTATACATATATACATATATACATATATACATATACGGGTGCCGCTGCCCTCCAACAAGGAGTATGTGGTGCGGCCCAAGTCTACCAACGAGACCGACATGTCCAGGGTATACATATATACATATATACATATATACATATATACATATACGGGTGCCGCTGCCCTCCAACAAGGAGTATGTGGTGCGGCCCAAGTCTACCAACGAGACCGACATGTCCAGGGTATACATATATACATATATACATATATACATATACGGGTGCCGCTGCCCTCCAACAAGGAGTATGTGGTGCGGCCCAAGTCTACCAACGAGACCGACATGTCCAGGGTATACATATATACATATATACATATATACATATACGGGTGCCGCTGCCCTCCAACAAGGAGTATGTGGTGCGGCCCAAGTCTACCAACGAGACTGACATGTCCAGGGTATACATATATACATATATACATATATACATATATACATATATACATATATACATATATACATATACGGGTGCCGCTGCCCTCCAACAAGGAGTATGTGGTGCGGCCCAAGTCTACCAACGAGACTGACATGTCCAGGGTATACATATATACATATATACATATATACATATATACATATACGGGTGCCGCTGCCCTCCAACAAGGAGTATGTGGTGCGGCCCAAGTCTACCAACGAGACCGACATGTCCAGGGTATACATATATACATATATACATATATACATATACGGGTGCCGCTGCCCTCCAACAAGGAGTATGTGGTGCGGCCCAAGTCTACCAACGAGACCGACATGTCCAGGGTATACATATATACATATATACATATATACATATATACATATACGGGTGCCGCTGCCCTCCAACAAGGAGTATGTGGTGCGGCCCAAGTCTACCAACGAGACCGACATGTCCAGGGTATACATATATACATATATACATATATACATATATACATATACGGGTGCCGCTGCCCTCCAACAAGGAGTATGTGGTGCGGCCCAAGTCTACCAACGAGACCGACATGTCCAGGGTATACATATATACATATATACATATATACATATATACATATACGGGTGCCGCTGCCCTCCAACAAGGAGTATGTGGTGCGGCCCAAGTCTACCAACGAGACCGACATGTCCAGGGTATACATATATACATATATACATATATACATATATACATATATACATATACGGGTGCCGCTGCCCTCCAACAAGGAGTATGTGGTGCGGCCCAAGTCTACCAACGAGACCGACATGTCCAGGGTATACATATATACATATATACATATACGGGTGCCGCTGCCCTCCAACAAGGAGTATGTGGTGCGGCCCAAGTCTACCAACGAGACCGACATGTCCAGGGTATACATATATACATATATACATATATACATATATACATATACGGGTGCCGCTGCCCTCCAACAAGGAGTATGTGGTGCGGCCCAAGTCTACCAACGAGACCGACATGTCCAGGGTATACATATATACATATATACATATATACATATACGGGTGCCGCTGCCCTCCAACAAGGAGTATGTGGTGCGGCCCAAGTCTACCAACGAGACCGACATGTCCAGGGTATACATATATACATATATACATATATACATATACGGGTGCCGCTGCCCTCCAACAAGGAGTATGTGGTGCGGCCCAAGTCTACCAACGAGACCGACATGTCCAGGGTATACATATATACATATATACATATATACATATATACATATACGGGTGCCGCTGCCCTCCAACAAGGAGTATGTGGTGCGCCCCAAGTCTAGCAACGAGACCGACATGTCCAGGGTATACATATATTTATTTTATTGTACGGAGGCGATTAATTACACCAATTAATCATTTATTAAATAAACAAAACGATGGTGTCTATTCTGGCATTATTCTCTAAATTTGAACTAAATTATATATAAATTTTATTATTTTAAAGCATGTAACTGCTTTTTTTTTTTATTGTTGGGAAAATGCGCGACGCATACCCCGCCCCTGGGTGAGAGACGGGGTTATGTGGGACTCCTCCTCCCCCCAAATCCCGCCCACCCGCTGAGCCAACTTGGCTCAGCGGGTGTTCGGAATGAAGGGGGGGCCCTACCCACTGAAATACCAACGGTGCTCCCTCGCCTGCCGGAAAGGGTTTCGTGGGATCCGGATGACTCTCCACGTTACCCCCGGCAGGCACCCAGGCATCCCCCTCGACTGGTGAGACTGTGCAATGCGGACGACGGAGCACCCTGTCCGCCGCCCGCTAGCCTCACTAGGGTGGAAAGAGGCGCCTTCCACCCCGGAGAGGGCCCTCTCCGCCGTCTCCTTCTGGAGGATGACTTCCTCGCAGAAGGAGACTACCGCAGTCCGGGATCTGTCGTTGTCCAGCATCGCTTTAACGACGCTGGGCAACGGGAGATCCCTTCCTATTGCCGTGACCATATGATGGGGCTGCCGAGACCGCGACGGGCACTCCTCGTTGACTCCCTCCGTTGACTCGGCACTGGCCGCAGCGCCTCCAGGGTCGTGACCCCGTACTGCTGTGTCTCCGGCTCCTCGGTCCACTGCTCCATGACGAGTTCGTCCAGCCTACGCCTGTGGGCTATCACCTCCCCTGGCGCCAGGCGCTCCCCTCGTCGCCGGGCCTCCGCCCTCTGCCAGTATAGGCGGGACGGCGCCTTCGCCTCCGGCGCCCGCGGGGGTGACCCTGTCGTTGCGCATTAAAGCATGCGACCGCTTGATGTTTAAATCTAAAGAAAATATAACTAGAAAAAATTATAACTGTGATTGCTATATCTTCTTTCGAATGTTAAATACTTGTAAAAGTATTCGTTTGACATTGTGGGCCTATGATGAGATGACGCCGCCTTGCAGCTTAAGAATGGCTAGAGGAATTTCGACGCGATCCGTGAGGGCCGCGGTGGTATGATTGGTCGGTGCGTTCGCCCAGATTGCGAAGGGTGCGGGTTCGAGTCCCGTCTGCTGCCTGGTCCTCGTCAATTTTTTTCTAATTATATTTTCTTTAAATTATATATATGAAACATCAGTCTCGCCTTTTCATTATGTAAAGAGAATGACAAAGATGCACTGTTATCAAATTGAAATTTAGATAATCATGCCAGAATCGAGACCGATGTCTAAAAGTTAATTCAAAACCTCAACATATTATTAAACTTGCTCATTACTATTATTTTCTCAAACATGCTTGGAAATTTGAGCATTATTTTGACAAATCTCCTATGAGATCAATCGAAATTGCTGTACTGACCACATATATAAAATGTTTCTCTCTCTTTCTCTCATACATCCATATCTGTCCTGTTCAGCAGCCAATAGATCGAAACATGGAAAACTCATATCTGTCGTGTAATTTCAAAATGGAACGATCTTTTACTCCTATACATTGGAACCGAGGAGATAACTTATCAAAGATTTATTTTTATTAACTAAAATTTAAATAAAAAGTTGATTATTGAAAAAAAAAACAAATGAATGAGTTTGGCTGTTCGTTGTATTTTAAAATTAATAAGTTCTGTCTAGGTATCAGTTAACTGTTTTTATTTCCACGCATTACTTGAGAAAAGTAATATACAAGCCTTGGCCACAACTAGGCATTGATGGACTTACGTATGTGTATTTATACGTTCATCCACCAATGGCTCTCTTTTTCTCTCCTTTTCGGACCGCTGCAGTAATGAACTATTTCGAACAATATTTCATCCTACATATAATATGCTTACTCATATCTTAATATGTATATATTATAATATAGTCAATAAATATGTCTATGTATATTGCGATAGAAACAGAAGCAAATAAGAATTTTGAGCATAACTATTTGTATGATTAATGCCTATTTAAAATAATGCGAACCTATAGTTCGAGTGATTGTCACTGGGCTTGTCAAAAATAAATCAAAGTCTTTCCTAATGTTATATCAAATCAATCATAATCATCTTAATATATAACTTTTTATATGTTTATATTTTCTCATAGACGAAAATTAGAATAAAATGAGAATGACAATGAAATGATAAAGGGATGATAATGAGTCGAGAAATAGACGAAAATAATAACAATAATATGTGAATGAGATCCATTGAGAATTTAGTAAGCATGTTAATGTGTCATCCGTTTTCTCGCCAGACGACCAAGAAAAAGATGACCCGCTACGAGAAGCAAATGAAAAGGTTTTTGGACCAGAAACGGATCAAGAGCGGATCGCGGAGAGCCGTCGAGATCTCCATAGAGGGCCGCAAGATGGCGCTGTGAACCAAACAACTAACCGACTGTGACGTCACGATGTTAAACTGTATGCCCAAGAGATTATCGATATTCTAGTTCTACGCCATTTTAAGTCCTATTTCACCAAGTCGACATATGTCACTATCATATACAGGGTTAATTTTAAAACACCAACAACCTCTTAGGGGGTGATTCTTCCCATTAACAGGAACAACTTTTATTATGACTTGTATATATATATTTGCAATTTGTGTATTTGTAAAAAATCATGACGAATATTTTGTAAAAAAAACTGACTAAAGCTAATATACGAGCCCAATATAAAAATTACACGAATACTGCATTATCGACTAGCTATATATTTGACAAAAGCTCTTATGTAAGTGGAATTAAAGCATTTAACAATTTGCCCAATGACATTAAAGATTTAAATTTATTGGAATTTAAAATTAAATTAAAGAAATGGTTAATAGATAAATGTTTTTATAATTTAAAGGAGTATTTTCGAAATTTTTAATAGCATTTACCACCTATAATGAATATTGTGCGTCCGAAACGGGCAGCTGTCTAGAACTAAGGCATTACTTGTAACACCATTATGCTCAGCATGGACAATAAAGCTTTCTATTCTATTCTATTCTATGGGACCAACGCTGAAATCGCGAAAAAAAATCAGCTGTTTCATACAAATAATCTACCGATATGTATGAAACAGCTGTTTCTTTTATCGCGTTGGTCTCATAATTTAAGTTGTTTCTGTTAATGGGTAGAATCACCACCTAAGAGGTTGTGGTGTTTTAAAATGAACCCTGTATAAGCTGACAGTTTGTTGTGGGGTCATCTATGTACTGCAACGATATCATTAATTAAATGACCGATACTGGTTTTACACATGCAAATCAAAGGAAAAATTTATTCGTTTCTTTATAACTTCTCCAGTATTGAGAACTCATATTTTCAAGCTTTCGCGGAGAGCCATTTTGTAACTACCAAGGAAAACACTACAATTGTGACGCAAATCTGACGCAGCCCCGATCTCATGACGACAATAGGGTTGATGACTAATTTTTTTTTCTTCGTTTATCAGGTAGATTATCAAAAAGTATTGGACACGTATTTTTTCTTTTTTCACATAATATAAACATTGCAGAGATACATTGATTTGAAAAGTCGCATGACGTCACGGTTTGGTACAATTTTCACTTAAAAGTGACGTCACGAGCCCCTACTCCCACACTTTGACGCGCTATAACTTTGTCATTTTTTGGTTGATTGCCCAAAGAAAAAATACGTGTCAATTATTTTTTGATCATCTAACTGACGGACTAAATAGAATTTCGTTTACTGTACTCCGTCATCACCCCTATTGGTCAAATATGTCCACTTGACCAAATAACCCTTGGTTCTCAACATACTTCATTGTCTTTGAAGTAAGATACGGATTGTCTGTCATTTTATTAGCATTCCCGAATATATATATATAGCCAGGTAGGCAAATGATTCTACCCCACTTATGTTAAGTGGTGATAAAGTCTAAACGAGAAGATAGTTTTAATTCTTTAATTTGTCACCTAACATCTGACCACATTATGTCAGTGGCTTAATAATAATATTGTTTATTGTTATACGTACACCATACAAGACACACGAGTAAATTAAAAACATGTGGCATGTTATGTCGACTTTATGATATAGTGCTATCGATCGACTCGCGATGGGGATAAGTCTGTCATATTTTGTATATTTTGTGGTGCAATCTGTTTATAATAAACTAGTGGCTCGCCCTCGCTTCGCTTCGGCGTAGTGCTGTAGTGTAGGTAGACTATTATTTTTTGTTCTCAAACATGTATTATACACAATGAATATCTTTATATAATTATAAACCTCCCATGAAAAATTATTTAACTGATAGTGAACGTTTTGTTGCGTACTTTAGGACCCGTTGTACCGAATGCACCATTTTTTTGATGATATTATATTGATGTCTTCTATAAAACTTTAGTCTAACACTTTGCTCTACTGTGAATGACTTTCGCAGCGTAAGCGATAGAATGGTATGTTTTTCGCACCCTGAGTTACGTTATCGAAATTTTCACACGGAACCTTAACTTTTTTGAATATACTCTATAGTCTATGTTCATCAGGGATAATGTAGGATTCTAAAAGTGAAAGAACTTTTCAATTCGGTCCAGCAGTTTCGGAGCCTATTTAATACATACAAACAATCAAATCTTTCCTCTTTATAATAGTAAGTATAGATGATAAGAATTAAGCGAGTACCGTTTCATTAAATACGAATTTCTTTTTTTTGTATAATTATTGGACATAATCGCAGACTACAAATAAATTTAATATCATATTCAAATTAAGTATCCAATTGTTACTAACAACTTGGGTGTATGTAACCTTGAATAAATGAAATTATTATTATTATTATTAAAGGCACATGCTGTCTTATTATATTTACAACGCAAAGAAAGAGACAGCACTAACTTGGTTTACGTTTAAAACTTTTTGAGTGCAGTCATTTGACATATTAAAATATGTTACACACACTGTTTGTTACAATATACAAATATAATCCACTGCAAGTTTTGGAAAACTATAGTTGGTGTTCTTGCGCGTGGTAAATATAAGGAAGTCACACTTGAAAATATTTAAATTTGATCATGATCATTGCAAATGTTAAACAAACACTTGTTTTATGATATTTTTCTTTATCTCTCCTATAAAGTAAGAAAGTAAGCACTTTGGAAATATGTTTTTTTTTTCTGAATTATTTGAGTTTATATATGGATCATTTTGTTTACAGTCTTAAATTCTGTTTAGCAGAACCTGTACTTAATTTCATTTATAAACGATCCCCATGTCACATTCAGACGTAACAAAGATAATATGTGTAAATACCAACGAATTCGTAATTATAAGGAAGCATTACTCTCTTACAAAAGTAATAATTATGGACGATTCAAAAGAGCTTTTAATAAGTCAATTTGAATAAAGTATAATTTCATTTAATTACAAAAGGCACTTAATTATGTATCCAAACTCATTCAACCAAACTTCAATGCTGTGTTAACACACTCAGACAAAACAAAATACTCCAACAAATCAAATATCTGAAAATGAATTCGGCTATCTATTCATTGGGCAAGATAATGTTAAACGGAAATACCAACCAATCCCATGATCGGCGTGTAGATCGCATTTTTTCGTCCCGCCCACTTGATCGCAGTTTGCGTGGGACCACTTTATAGCGCAGCTCGAATTCCACATCTAATTCTTTGGTAAACATAGATTTATATATCTCTTTTACCTGTTGAACATAATCATTTATTCAAATATTTTTGCATACAATATTGCGTGCATACATTAAAGTTGAATCTTGTCAATGCGATTATTTTGCTCTGCGTTGCATTGTTGTCATATGAATAGAGGCTTTCCGTTGTATCGTGCTGACAATTCAGTTAAGTAGCTCAAATTGTAAATAAATAGTAAGGTATTATAAGATATGACATACACTTATCTGACATATATATAAATTTATAACATTTTTACGATTTCACTAAATATTACAAGCTCCAGGGCCGGATTTAGAGGTATCGGGGCCCTGGGGCAACGAAGGAGGCCCCTAAACCTGACCCGGATGTCTTACGACCATTTACCATACCGCACATGATAGGATATAAGAAGAAAAAAAATCATCCCCACTTTACATGTAGGGTACCTAATTTTTTTTCACAATTTAATCTACCCTTTGTCCGCTTGAATGATATCAAATTGCTTCGCTATCACTTGTGAAGGTCAAGAAGCTACGCTATATACATACCTCAACAAAATTGCAGAAATGTAGTGCTAACAGTCTCTGCAAAACTTCTGTCGGACAGACAGACGGAAATGACGACACAATAAGGGTTTATTGTCAGAACTACGGAACTGTAAAAAATGAGACGCATTTTTAGAACTAGAAGAGCTAGTCTTCTAGTTGCTGTGATCCTGAAAATATTTACTAAATTGTGAAAAAAAGGACGAACTGTGTTCAAAAACTGAGTTTAACTGACATGTTTGCGAGTTGCACGATTATAGTAGGTATCAATCAAGTTTATTATTGTATTAGTAATATCCCCCCCATAAAATTCGGTGCTTTAATTTTTAAAGGCCTCCATGGCCGAGTGGTATTTTGAAGGTGTCACCTAGTCAGAGGCCCCGGGTTCGAGTTCCGGTGGGCCAAATATTAGTGTGATGAATACTAGCATTCATTTGTACCCAAGTCATGGAAGTTTGTATGTATTAATTAATAAAATATACTTATATTATGTATCACTATATGTATTCTATCCGTTACCCTGGTATTCCATAACACAAGCCTTTGAGTGCTTACTTTGGGGTTAGGCTAAATTGGTGTATTACAAATATTTATTTATTATTTATTTAATATTTCCACAATTTTACTCATTTGATTAATGACTATTCTAGGTTCTCGCGAAAATATACATCTGGGGGCCATTCACCTAACGAAAATGCTTTTGAAAACTCTAACGCTTACGATTTCATTTTGTTATTTATAGCCGCCTGAGGTTTTCAAATGCCTCGCGCTTTTTTTTTTCTTTTGCATTGGTAATTAATAACAATATCAAAGAAAATGAGAGTGAGGTATTGGATGAAAACGAAAGCGTTAGCGTTTTCCTTAGCACTTCCGTTAGGCGAATTGCCCCAAGGGCGGATCCAGAGCTGGGTCCATCTGTACCCACTTCACAATCTGTACCCACTGTGACCCCCTGGTCTACCTGTCTCTTTCGCTGTACGTATCACTCGGAACGTGAGATGGCATACTTAGTATTGTTTTTGTCTTTTTCATACTCTTTGTTTATTTATTATCTGTGGGTATGTGATAATAAATAGGAATAAATTTACCCGCGCAATATCGAATTTCACTGAAGCGACATGAAACCGCTTCCGATTCAACATCTGTAAAATAGTTCATAATTTAGTTATGTAAGTATGATTATAAATCAATTCTGTCTCCATATAACGATGTTTATTTTGAAGCTCGTAAACTATTCGCGGAGAGGAAATTGTGACGTTTTATTTTATTTTTTGTGTTACCTATGTGATCCATAGAGTAGACTTTGAGCCCAACAGAGGGCACATAAGGCCTCAACCCGATAGGCGCGTTTTTATTGGTCGATAACATCGTATGCGTTATTGCGATATTTCGTCATACTTCTGTTGCGTTGTTATTATTGCAGCAGAGTGTAAGTAACCGTTCTCATACTTGATGTAATAAAAACAGATATCGCAATAACGTATCCGATGTTAGAGGAGCTCGATGGCGCAAGTGGTTAGCGCGTTCGGCTGCGCTCGCTGAAGTTGAGCAACTTTCGCAGTGGTCGGTCATTGGATGGGTGACCAAAAATTTACTATCTCGAGTTCCTCCATGCTTCGGAAGGCACGTTGAGCCGTTGGTCCCGGCTGCATCTGCAGTCGTTAGCACCCGCCAATCCGCACTGGGCCCGCGTGGTGGGTTATGGCCCAATCTCCCTATTCTATCCATAAGGAAGGCCTGTGTCCCTGCAGAGGGGGCGTTAATAGGCTGGTGATGATTTTATGCATCCGATATTATCGACCGTAGGTTTAAACGGCTTAAAGGGATTATAATTTTATTGAACGCCATTGAATTCGTTTCCTATCTTTTAGAGTTAGTTGTCAGTTGGCAATGTAACTCTCCTTATATGTATATTTTTATATAATTATCCAATGTCTGATTTGAAGGAGGAGTGTAAAAATGATAAGGTTTTGTATGAGTGGTGGAGTGCAATCGTTCGCGGCTCCCACGTTTGTGATGTTGTGTATAAGCTATTTTGTAAGATGATAATAATAAAATGATTTAATTATAAGGAGTTTTTTATTTATCTCATTTGATATTTTAGGATTATATTGGGCAGAAATTATCCAGGTACGATCATGAAAGTAAAGGCATTTTTTCTATGCCCGGTCATTGGAAGGCTAACCAATAATTTATAATAACAATAATAATTTATTGAAAAAATAAAGTTTACAATGATATTAAACAATTTTAAGTTTACAACATTGAAATTATTATAGAGTTACCTACGGCTTCCACACTAGGACATGCCTGTATTGTGGCGACCGGACAAATTTATCATCTCGAGCTCCTCCACGCTCGTCGTGATAATTATTTAATCACGACATATTATTTCGAAAGTTATATACATATGTTGACATGATATTTGCTTATAGGCTGTTCTGTGATTTCATCGGTGGTAGAAAAAATATAAGGATGATTCAAACGACCTTTTTATAAGTCAACATGAAGAAAATTTCATTTTCATTTCATTTCATCCAATACATTAGAATGTGAATAACACACACGTTCGAATCCATTTAAAGAACTCTGGTTAAGTGGGAGTACTGCACAAGGTGCAAGTTTGCCCCCCTTATGTTATTTTGCCGCACCGGAACAAATCCCAAAATTATAACTCGGGCTCCCACTGCAATGACGGAGCAAATGCAAAGTAGAGATGGGCGTTTTTAGATATTTGTGAAATCGATGCGCAGCGGTATCAGATAAATCGCATCGGATCCGCCCACCGATGCCGGCATCGCATCGATGCCAAGTGAATGTCAGTATCGAAGTATCACAAACTTTTCAGTGCCTGTGGCAAAAATTGGAACTACAATTTATCCATAGCGTTGTGACATTTTTATGACATATTTATTCACCGCTAGCGACATCTCCACTGGCACAGATAAGTTTGTGGCACCGTTGCTATAGTAACGTTGACAAAAACTAGAAGATGGCATCAACATCCAATAACGGTATCCAGTCGCATCGGATGCGCTCATCCAAACCTGGCATCGTTATCGCGCATCGTTATTCTAAAAACGCCCACCCTTAATACAAAGAGGTGGTATTGAAATCCATGTGAAGTCAGTGAGAGGCTGTGTTCTAAGGGCAGGATTCTGATGATCAATATATAAATTCACCTCTTATTTAGTAAGTATGTTATACAATTGACATAAAGTTACATTATGCTATGCACAATTTCCTCGGTATAAACTTGAGCCAGGTACAGAATTTTTTTTTTCATCTTGATCACGCGCTTACGTACTTTTACGGCGCGGTAGAGCACACCAGGGGTATGACACTTAGAACATAAGAAAATTCTTCAAAGAAGGCAGAGTAATCTCGCGCTTTGATCCCGATTTAAACTTGTTAGTAACTTCTCAAAATGTCAATAGGTGTCGTGTCTATGAAATATTATTTTTCAAAGCTTGTCAAAGCTGTCAAATGTGGGCGAGCTGTTAAAAATGGCGGTCTTACAAAATTGATGGTCTTCTTCGCTTGCGCTTGCGCTTGTCGGGTTTTGATCAATTTTGTGTGTTTTTGTTTCCTGAGCTACAGTCAGACGTTGAGTTGAGTTTATTTCTCCTCCGTCCTAGTGGTTAGTGAAACTGTGATTGCGATACGGACGCTATTAGTTAAGTGTTAACAAAACACCATTATGCCGGGCCAACGTTGTGTGATATGTGGTCGGGGATATGGGACTGGTTAGTCTTTATAAATTTACTTAAACGTTTTGTATGTTAAGCTAATTTCCAACACTTTTCATCACTTCTACAAATTTACGCCGTACCAAATCGTTTTTCATAAACATAGTACAACATTTGTGAATGTGGCTCATCTTTGGAGATTTTTCAAGATTAATGTGATTTTTGAATGATATATTGGTTTCGATTCTGGCATGATTTTCTAAACCTAAACTTAAATTTGACAACAGCGTATTCTTGTCATTCTTTAAACAGAATGTATAGCAAAAAACAATGTCAAATTTAGTTTTAAGTTTAGAGAATCATGCCAGAATGTACATCATTAGCAACCTTAATAAGATAGGACTGAGATATGAGGAGCTGGCGAACAAAACGGTATAATTACGCATCTGGACAAAGTACTTATACAGTACGAAGGTTTGGGGCCTATCGGAACTTGAATCTCAAATAATTTTCAATCAAAACCGCCTAAAACAGTGTTAAAATAATTGATATATATTAAAAACCATGCCAAAAGCTCACTGGAGGTATGTCATTCAGTTTTATACAGCTCCAGTGAAATTTAATTGTATGAAATTATACCATTGTGCTCGCCAGCTCCTCATATAATGTCTACATATACAATAGTCCATTTTTTATAAATACATAATAAAATTTTCTTGAATGATTGTTTTTATAATCATAATGGACTTTTGATCGCCTATAAATATGTTTTACACACATATACAGAGATAAAGATACCTTAGTTACTTGCAAACAAGCATCTAACGAATCTTATTACTTTTCAGGTACAACAGTACACACTTTTCCAAATCCAAATAAATTCCCGGAGCATTTTAAGGAATGGGTACAAATTATTGGAGGAAAACTGGAAACACCATCTGATTATGAATTTTATAAAAAGAAGAGGATTTGTGATGTGCATTTTATAGAGCAACATAAAACAAGCTGTCATCGCCTTAGTGCTTTAGCTGTTCCTTCTCTTTATTTGCCTGGTAAGTTACAACTTGTGTTTTTATTTAAGGCTAGTGCTGGAAATACATCATGTTTAAATAATATATTTTCATTTGAAATAATATATCTTCCGAAAGGTATTAGAGTTTTTCAGTGGTTCAAGAGAGTTGTATTAATATTAAAATAGATACAAGATTAACTCTACTGACATGGTATCTTTGTAACATTACAGGCTCAACAGATATTCAGCAAAGATCTCCAATTATTGCTAACACATCAATGTCCATTCCGAATCAATCAGGTTTGTCTTTATTTATATACTAATAAACAGACATTAACTATTAAAGTATGACTAAAACTTAAAATCAGTTTGCCGTAGATAGATTTTGTTGAAAGAAATACAAATTAAGAGTAATAATTAATCTACTCTTGTACTTTTTTAATATCATCAATATTAGTGAATACATCTGTTTCATAACATACGTACCTACTTGATTACGAAACCTGCAAATTGTGTGCGAGTATTCATGAAATACAAACCTGTCATAAATTACAGAGCATTATTCGGTATTACTTTTTTCGTAAATAAGCACTGTATATTATATTTCAGACGAACCAACAATGACCGATAACCAACCAACCCTGGTCAATAACTTGTCTACTGCTCCTAGTACATCAGGTAATATATGAATATTATTGTTGTGGAAAATGAAACTGTTCAAAGTTAGTAAGTTTACATAAAATTCAGAAAAGAATAGCATATATTGTAAGTAATATATACATAAAATAAACTTTATTCTGTAAAGTTGAAAGGACATTGCTCGTTCCCCATACATTGAATGCCCTAGAACGCCCAGCAATGAGAAAATGCCAGTTGTGTTCGGAATCATTCATAAACTCTAATAAGGCATTTGTTGAGATACGGACAACTTAAAGAACCGTGGCCTACTACAGAATGTATTAGATTTTGATGTTATAATTATTATACTTAATCGTAAAAGATGTACACTTATATATTCTGAATAGATTTAGTGTTTACCTCTATGTAAGCACATAAATAATATGCATTAAATGAACATAAAATGTAACATAACATAAATGTAATGTAATGAACATATTCTTTATTAGGTTTCATTTAAGTATCGAGTTGCATTTTTCAAATCCGTTACTTCACAGAAACATGCACACTACTAAATTTATATTAATTAACGGTTATTAATTGCAAATTATGAGCAGTTTTAACTTTTGTAAGTTTTCATACAACGACTCTTAGGCCGTATACAGAAAGAAAGCCTTGACCGATCGGCGCTTATCGGCGCCTTGTGCTAACCAGAACCGCCTGGCATTCTACCTACTTAATTTAAATCGCTTAAACAAACACATATATACATTTCAACTTTACAGAATAAAGTTTATTTTTATGTATATATTACCAACCTTCCGGTTTGCCTGGCGGGTACTTGTGCTCATCGTAAACACCTGGCAATTTTTTTTAAACCTAAAATGAATAAACGAAATTGTATAAAAAATTCAAGCTTACAGCAACAACTTTTTTTTAATATTTTTTTGACACTTTCAAAAATATACGGCTTGATGACGTGCAGGGCAGAGGAGTGCCAGGCGATGCTTACCGTACTAAGCATGATATGACTCATCATCATAAGATTTTCTAGCCTTACAGTCTGAAGGTTCAGTAGCTCTTGGTCTATAACGACAAATTCTAATTGAGCAATCACATAAAAGGAACAGTTTCAACTGTATGTAGTTACAGTTGAAACTGTTATTAATTTTAGTATGTAATCTTTAATGCAACGAAATTAAGTTGTATTTTATGTACGTAATGGTGTCAATTCTGGCAGGGTTCTCTAAACTTAAAACTAACATCAGTCTCTCCTGCTCATTCTGCGTGACATGGATACGCCGTTGTCAAATTTAAGTTTAGGTTTAGAGAATCATGCCAGAATCGACACCATTGTCAATCAGTTAAAGGCATATAACTAATTTATTTTTCTTTAATTTTCAGGCCTACAGCACACGTCATTATCTTTGTTAATGGAACACAATTACAGTGCTTTAAGTAGACCTAAACTAAAGAAAACAGTTAAAGGTAACTATAAAAATCTCTTTTAAGCATGATCCGCTGTTTAAGTGAAAATCCTGAATCAACAAGTAATATTAACTAATTAGCAATTTAACAAAACATTAAAATGTTTTATAGCATAGAACTGCTACATTTATTCATCTGATAGTATGTGTGTTAAAACCAATTCAGCATAGGTTTAAAAAATTAACAAAAATCAATTAATTTACCTAATACATCATAATAATTTTGTTACATTTTCCTTTTTTATAAAGTATATACAGTGGTGGT